AGAGAGAGAAAGAGAGGGAGAGAAACACTGATGTGAGAGAGGAATGCCGATTGGTTGTCTCTCGCATGTGGCCTGACTGGGGACCAAACCTGCAACCCAGGCACGTGCCCTGACCGGGGGTTGAACCAGTGACCTTTCCGTTTTCAGGACAATGCCCAAACAGCTGAGTCACACCTGCCAGGGTACTTTGTTTTATTTTTTAAATACAATAAATAAAAACATAAAATCTATTTGACTGTGTCAAGACAACTCAATTACAATGGACCCCGCACTTTAAAAGAGTGGAAGTGGATCAATTTCATTTGTTTACTTCCCAACAGCTTCTAACCTGTATGTATATGTGGTCACAAGTGTAAAACCTCCAGGGACTTTGGACACAGAAAAAAGGACTCAGCCACACAGATCAAGTCCTTTGCTGCTTAAAGTCCGCAGCTGTGACCAGGGCTGGTCCAGAGCAGGTGTCCCTGAGCCCTCCCTGGGGTCAGAACACACGCCGTGTGTTCCCCCTCACAAGCAGGGCCCGGATAACTCAAGGGTTTTGCTTTTATGTCCTCTCAGAGTCTCGTCACCACAGCCCCGTCCCTGGAGTGGTCAGTAACCAGACAGGAGAATAGAACCCTGGCAGAGAGCCCCCCTCACCCCGTGAGGGTAAGAAGCTGGGCCACCTCTGGGCTCTGGGACACCAGGAGCAGTCGGCTGAGGCAGAGGGAGGTGCCCACCCCTCCCCACCCCCACTCGCACCCTTGGCAAACCTCCTTGGATTCAGGCAGAGGGGGACACCTGGAGAACCAAGGGTGGGCGTCCTTCGGAGGACGCCAGAGGACTGTCAGCCCTCCCTTGCTGAGCCACTGGGAACCTGCAGGAGCTCCGGGCACTAGCAAGGGCAGCCACTTCCCACGATACCCACGGGGCAACCGGAGCCCAGAGCAGGGGGGCTGGTGGGAGGTGAGGCAGGAGAGAGAGGGTCACTGTGCTAGCTAAGCACATACTCAGGTTAGGGCGTCCACCCTCACCACCCCCTCTGACCTAGGGCCACTGCCACCTGTGTCGGAGGCTCAGAGGGGTTAGGTAACACCCCCAAGGCCACAGAGCCAGGGAGCGGCAGAGCAGACTCGAACCCTGGGCCCCGGTGGACCTGCTGAGAATACAGCCGCCTGTTCTTTGGTGCTTGGAATGGTAAAACTGCTTTGCTGGAAGCTTTCTCAAAGACTGGGGGGCTGAGAGCACAGTTCTGCCAGCAGGGGCAAGGGTGGGTCACAAGGTCAAGGGCAGGAGAAGACAATCCACAGACCTAGGCTGTCTGGAACCAGCACCTCCGGGCCCCTCTATCCAGGCAGTGCCAGCACTCAGTCACTGTCCCAGGCCCAGTGAGAGATGGGCAGGGTCCCAGTCTACAGATGAGGAAACCAAGCCGCAGAGCAGGATTGAGCCAGGCTCGCCCCACCTCCCTGAGGGCCAGAGCCAGGCGCCCGATCCAGGCGAGGTGAGGGCAGCGCCTCCGCTGGCAGCTGTGGGCACAGCGGGCTCCTGCTATAAATACAGTGCTGACAGCCGGTAACCTTAGCCGGCAGATGCCCCCGCCCGAGCCTGGGGCCCTGAATCCTGCAGCCTGCCCATGCCTGCCACTGCGCTCCCACCCCGGGGTTTCCTGACACCCTAACGAGGTGCCACATACTCACTGCAGGCTCCACATTATCGGAAGCAACGTTAAGGCAGCGTATCCGAGATGAGGCCGTCTGAGGGCCAGGTAGGCCTGTGAGACGGCCAGCCCCCTGGATGAGTGGGGTGGGAGCCCCCAGGAGGGGCACCCAGGTGGGGTTTGCACAGACAGGGTCTGGAGTGAATCCCAGCTCTACCGTCTACCAGCTGGGTGACCTTGGGCACCTGTTTGTCTCTCTGAACTTCAGTTTCATTAGCAACGCAGTGGGGTTTACGCCACCCCCCCCCCACCAAGGGATTGAACAGATAATGTGTCCAAAATGGCCAGGACACAGGACACAGCAGAATATTTGGTCCCTGCGTTTGCTGGGTGGCTCACAGTTCACCATTGGTTGAATAATAATAACAGCTACAACGACTAACAATAAGCCTGACATTATTTTAAGAGCATTACATGCTTTCAGTCACTTCATCCTCATTTGAACTTGGGGAGCTAATGCCCTATTATTGTCCCCATTAACAGATTTGGAAAGTGAGGCACAGTGCCCTCGAGTAATCTGCCCAAGGTCATATAGAGAGCAGGTGGAGAGCTGAGAATTTTGCGGCTGTTGACACAGGCCTCGGGACTGGTTCCTGAAAATAGGCACAAGTATTCACAGCAGCCTTCTGGGCCCCATCACTCTGCGGGGTAGGAATCCTGGGAAGACCTGAACTTCAGGCAGCTCGCTCTAGGGGAACACCCCCGTACCCAGGTGCTGTCTTCTCTTCTGCCAACCACGTTCTTTCAGAAGCATATCACAGACCGAAGACCATCATATGGCATGTCACGGGCGGGCAGCCAAGCCCCAAGCTCACCCAGGCGGCCCGCCAGCCGGGGTTGGCAAAGCCGGGATGGCGCCTGCAGGTCCCCAACCCAGCTGACCCCCTTCCAAACAGTGGAGGAGCCGCGGGGCTGTGTCTCCTCTGAGCCTCCTGAACACACACGCACACGCATGCACACACACAGGCTCAGGGCCCAGTCCGTGGCCCCGACAAGCTAAATACTGTCCCGACCTTCCTGAAATACCCTTCTCTAGGCGGGTGGCTTTACAAGCTACTAAAAGCAGGGCTGTGTCCCTGGTGGAGGGAAAGAGCTATTCCGGGTCCGTGTCAGGTGTGGGCAGAGCCAGCCAGAAAGGGCCTCCCCACCCCCCCATACTGGCTCCTGGGCCTTCAGAGCCACGGCGGACAATTCCTGGCAGCCAGTGCCACTGGCGTCTGGTGGAAGAGGGTAAGGTCAAGCCGGTGCTGTTGGTGTCCCGCCCCCCCCACAGAGTTCCAGGTCTGACTCAGTGAGGCCAGGCATTGGGCTGTCTGTCAGATGCCATTCGGCGGGGAGGGGCACACCACCAATACCTGCAACCCAGTCCAGGACCCCTGGGTCAGCTTGATACATCCCATCCTCCCCAGAAGTGTCTGACAGATGAGGAATCCATGGCCAGGCTGAGGCTTAGGCAGGGTGGCCTGGCTGGAGGGGTGGGACCATCACGCACAGGTCCCTGCACTGCTAGGCTGCTTCCCAGACCCCCCCACGGATGCTCCCACGAAGGCACCACCGAGCGCTCATGGCACGTCGGGCACTGGCAGCTGCTTTCGCACGGTACCACATTCACCCTCCTCAGCTACCTGATTAGGGACCGTTGACTGCCGTCTGCTTCTCGCCTGGGGACCCTGAGGCTCAGGCCAGTAAAGCCACCAGCCCAAGGTGACCCAAGTTGGAAGTGGAAGATTTGGGATTTGAACCTGGCGGCTTTACCCCCGACATCGAACTGTCACCTGCCTCACCCGAGGCCAGTTCGGGGGCATGTCCACATCACAGCTTTGTCTTCAACTGGAAGGAGCCGGGGGCAGCCAGCCAGGGAGCGGGAAGGGAGTCCCCACCAGGGACAGGACAGAGGGCATGCGGGGGACCCCACTGTCTGCCTGCTCCTCTGCCAGACTGTCCCTGCTGTCTCCAGCCTGGAGGGTCTGGGGCCGACGGAGGACCTGCTCGCACTGGCAGAGCAGGGGCTGAGGGCTCCCCACTCCAGATCCGCATTTACACACTCACTGCCTGCAGTCCCAGGGCCCGTGGCATGCTGAGCCCCCCCAGGTGGCCAGCTGCAGCCTAGGCCACCGCTGCACCGTGAGTCAACTCTGGGCGCCCTGGCTGACAGCGAGAGGGGTTTGCAGCAGACAGAGCTTCCTGCTCCAGCCCCGCCGGGAAGCTGGGATGGGGGTGGCAGAGCTTAGCTTTGAAAGTCGAGCTCCCCCATCAGGAGCACAGGCCCCCGGGCATCAGGCTAGGAGGAAGGGGGTCCAGGCCCCCACCAACCGCAACCCAGGGTGGGAAGGCAGTGCTCTGGGGAGACCAGCGGCCTTGACCCTGCAACCGGACCTGTAGAAGGTAAATATAGCGCCACCACTCACCAGCCGAGGGGCCCTCGCCGTCAGACATGGTGCAGGAGAGGGGTGGGCAGCCAGCCACTGGCCTGCAGGGACTCTGGGACCTCCTGCTGTCACCCACCTGGTGGGGCTCAGGGCTGCTGGTCGGGCAGCAGCGTCCAGTCCCCAGGCGGCGTCCCGCCCAGCCAGCCGGCCACCCCCCCAGTGCTGGGCTGGGCAGATAAGAACGTGCTCCCGTGCCAGGAGCCCGCGCGATTGGTGGATAAATCTGAGCACTGCCCTTCCCTGCCCGGGCCTCTCCCAGCGGCCTCTGACTGCTGCCTGAGGAACCACTGCACCCCTGGGTGCTGACCCAGTCCCCCCAACCTCAGCCCCAGCTCTGGGGACCTCAGCATGCCTGTGCACTGTCTCCCTCAAGTGGCTCCACCCAGCCAGAGAGGGACATTTATGGGCATTGGAGAGAAAGAGTGAGCGATGCCATGCACTGGGTATGTGCCCATGCCAGATTGGGTCCTGCCTTCTGCAGCACCCACGACCATCGTCTCCATGTCACAGGTGGGGTTAGGTGACCCACCCGAGGCCACCCAGCCAGTGAGGCGTGGGACTGGAGGAGGGAGCAAGCGCAGGTGCTGACCGATCCCTGAGCCTCGGAAGAGCGAGGGGGTGGAAGAGCCTTCCAGGACCTCAGGCCACAGGCCCATGAGCACTGAGAAACTAAAACACAGAGTCAGGCTGGACCTGTGTCAGGAACCCTAGAACTGCACCCGCCCCACGCCAGAAATCCCCCTCTTCCATCCTCCCCGCCTGGCCCGCTTCCAGGACCCATCCTGGAGCGGTGGGCAGGAGCTGGGGAGAAAAGCAATGAAGAAAGCGGAGCTCCCCGGCCTCCTCACCTGCAGAGTGGAGAGGAACCTCACCTGTGCGTTTCTGGCGTGGAGGATTAACTGAGACAATGCTGCTGCAGGACTCTGTAGGTGGGACCAGGAGGGGGCACCCCAGAGCGCAGTGGCCCAGCCCCGAACTCCCTGTGGAGCCGTAGCAGGTGCAGGCAAGGGTGGGGCCAGCCCGCTTTGCTGGTGGTCTGTGGGCAGGTGGTGGGCCCTCTCTGTGCTTTTGTTTCCACAGCAGGAGAGCATGCACGAGCACCTCCTGTGTAGCCGGCTGAGGGTCGGGCTCCGGCAGGGGGAGCCCACAGAGTCCTGCTGACCTGCCTGGGGCCAGTCTTGGGTGTGGCTTTGGGCTCCCTGGCATGGGTGGGTCCACAGAAGAGCACGTGGGGCTGCAGGACCCAGGCGAGAGGAGCGTGGCGTCAGACGGGCCTGGGTGCAACAGCACCTCCAGCAGCCCTCCTTGGTGACCACCTCCAGCAGCCCTCCTTGGTGACCGGGGCAAGGCTGGCGCCGCCTCAGCTTCTCACCTGAAGAGGGGAGGAGTGAGCCCTTTTTCAGGGGCTGGGGTGAGGACCCAGATGCCTTGGAGGGCCCTCCACCTCCCACCCTGCGGCGTCTGTCTGTCTGCCCAAGTCCCTCCAAACAGGCCCAGTGTCCACCCAGCTTCCTGCGCTCCAGCCGCTTCCCCTTCCTGCTCCGGTCCTAAGCCCCTTCCTGTTTGCTTTATCATGGGAACTTGTGTTAGGAAAAACAACTCGGTTCCTTTGGTTTTGAGGTCACTGCAGCAGCCACGGGCCCAGGGCCCTCCACGTGCCGCCTGGGAGGCCAGGCTCCTCCAGGGAAGGTTCCAGTGCCCTCCGCCCCTGCCTGGACTCCCCGCCCTGAGCCCCATGGACTCCTCCTGGTCAGGACATGGATATCCTCCTGGTCAGGCCCGGGCACTGAGCACCGCAGGGTTGGGGAGGGTCAGGCCTCCTCTGACCCCCGCTCTTCAAGTGCCCTCCCATGGGCAGACTTGCCCCTGGCTACCCAGGCTGCCTCCCACTGGGGGTCCGACCACCAGCAGGAGCACCAGCAGGGTGTCCCCGATTTCCTCAAGGGAAAAGGACACGCAGGAGAGGCTGTGTTCTTGGCCAAGAAAGGACCTTGACTCCATGGGTCCCACCCCATCCCTGATTCAGAGGAATGATCCACCAGCCAGAAATACCCCCGAGTCTGCACCCTCCCGGGGCTGGGGCTATTTCTGGACGTCCAGGCAGAGATGCCAGAGGCTGTCTGGAGCCCAGGGGTGAGGTCTGGGCCGATATGTGGATTTAGGAGCCACTCACCCCAGGGGTGTTGAGACAATCCTTTGGGTTGCACCCTTGTCGGGAAGCCCGCTGGGGTCACAGGATCCTCTCCCAGAGGAAGTCAAGCGCCCACGTATGTGGGGTGAATCACCGGAAGACCCACTGGCCGCAGCCCTCCTCACCCTGCCCTGAGGTCCCCTCCAGGTGACCCTCCTCTCTCTCATAATCATCCAGGACCTCCTACCCCCACACCACACACACTATGTTGGGGGGCACCTGAGCAGGACCTACCTGACTCTGGACCAGAGTGAAGGACACCATGCCCATTGGGCCATGGCAACCAGAGGGGGCTGAACCCCACCCAGAACCTTTCCGGGTAGGCAACTAACTGTGATCCTCTGCCCACCCATTTTGGCTGCCACTGAGGACCCACAGGGCCGCCAGGCGACTCCAGAGCCAGCTTCCTGCCCCAGCACCCAGAGAGAAGAGAGAGAAAACCTCTCACACACAGGATGGCCCACAAGCCACCCAGGGGGTCCCTGTCCCCAGCCTCCAGGCCAGTGGGCCTCAGGGGGTGGGAGATGGCTTCCACTCTTTGCAAAGAGCATTTTAGGCATTAAAACAGTTCAGCTCTGGGAATAACAGCATCCCCAGCCCTCCCAGGCCGCAAGGAGCTCTGCCCCTTCCCGACAGCCCCATCACCAGACCCAGGTCTATCACCAGGAAGGGCGAGGGCTAAGAGAGAGGGTATCGCTGCAGCCCCACCTGCGTGACAGTGCCCCTGCCACCCCCACTGGCTGCCTGACCATCTGAGCCTTGATTGCCCCATATGTGAACCGGGGACGTAGTGCCCGCCTCCCCTCCCACCCCCACCCCAGCTGTCAGTGGATGCCCCAGACCACGCGCTCCTGAACAGGGTGGGGTTTGCACTCTCTCACCCTGACCCCGCCTCCACGAGGCTGAGCCTGAATCGCCTCGGCCCCTCATTGGACGACTGTGGGTGGGGAGCACCACCCAGTTTTCCCTCAGCAGACATGCGTACCAGAGCTCTGCAGCGCGGCGCCATCGTGTGGCTGTTCTGGGAACTGCATTGCCTGCCTCCCACCGGCCACGAGTTCTTCTGGGGAGGCAACAATATTAAAGACCCCACCGCTGGGTCTGCAGAACTGACGCTGGCACACTCTGTGCTAATCTCTAAGCACGATCTGTGTAAATGCTCCTAATCCTCCCACCAACCCTAGGATGCGGGTTCTGCTATCTGTCCTCTCTTGCAGACAGGAAAACTGAGGATCAAGCCTTAGGGACAGATGGGGAGGATTTGACCCTTAGAGGTTTGGCTACAAGGCCTCGGTCTTCATCCCACCCACCCTGCCTGGTGCCAGGGGTTGGCACATTGGGGTCTCCGGGGGAGGGGGGGGCTTAAAAAGAAAAGTCTCTGGGCCCACCCCCAGACTGGTCTGGCTGGCCCATGGGCCTCCTCAGCTGTGCCGCCAGGTCTGTGAACCACCTGCCTGTTCACAGAAAGCCCCCCTTCTGGAAACGGAGAGGGTGGGGGAGCAGCTTCATGAGGGCAGGCGGAGCGCCCCTGTTGCACATCCCAGAGGCCCAGACCCCTGCCCAGCAGCCCAGGTGAAACCACTCCAGCTGGGGCAGGGGCTGGCTCTGCCCCCGAAGAGGACCCCCGCCTGCACTGAGCATGTCACTTCCTCCTGAGCCCCGGTGTCCCTGTCTGTTGCAGGGGAAGACCCCTGGGAGCTCCTGAGCAGGATGGATGTGAGGAATGAGGAGCCGATGCCCAGCGTCCGGCCGGCCCAAATCCACAACCTCCCCAGAGGGCAGGCACGCACCCCGGGCAGTGGGCGAGGGCATTGGTTCTTTTTGCACACGGGTGTGCTCCCAGGAGCTGGAGGAGGGACTTGGGCCAGCCTTTTCCTTGCCCGGGCCAATAGTACAGCTGCTGGGCCAGCCTGAAGTGCTGCTGAGGAAGGGACGGCTCCTTCATCCCACCACCATTGTGAGGGTCACAGTCCCCCCATCAGGGCCCAGGCCCTCAGGCCTCCTCCAGCCAGGTTGGAAGGAGCTGTGCCAGCAGATGATGAGGGCGTCATGGGCATGAGCCCAGGTTCCCAGGTGCTTGGCTCCACCAGCTGCTCCTGTGAGAGGCCCAGGGGGTCCCAGCCTCTGTGAGCTACCTGGGGAGCCAGCGCCCTTGTTGGGAATAGACGAGACGGCACAGGCCCCAGGGCCCGGGCCCTTTTCCATCAAGCTCTTAAAACCTGGCCTACAACCCCAATCTCACTCCTCACCGGGAGCACAGCCTTGAACTTGATGAGGGAACAATAGGGCCCTCCCAGTAGCCAACTTTCTCTTGAGGGGACAGTGTCCGGGCCTCTCCAGGGACAGCTTCCAGAGCTGCGTCAGCCCTCAGAGAGACCAGCCTCAACATCACGCCCATTTTTGTGATGAGCAAACTGAGGGCAGAACAACCTGGCCTGGTCTGGCCGATCATTCATGCAGTCAACACATATTTATTGAGCATCGACTCTGTGCCAGGCCCTCAGAGGGCATGGGGGGCCTCAGAGACGAATCACACACAGACCCTGCACCCTAGGCGATCACAGCCTGGCAGGGCGGTTGGTCACTTGGAAGGACACTCACGATACAGTGGTCAGTGTGGTGTTAGAGGTAGCACAGGTGACCATGGGAGCACAGAGGAGGGGCCCCTGGCCCAGCCGGGGGTGGCAGGGAGGGCTTCCTGGAGGAGGTGACACCTGAAGGGGGCTTCAGGGAGTGAGCAAGAGTTAGGGTTTCTGGCAGAGGGAGAGGCCTGTGCAAAGAGGTGAGGGCAGACAATGGCATATCTGGGTGGCAGCTGGGGTTCGGGGTGAGGCTGGTCCAGGAAGGGCAGTGGAATTAGCAGCAGACAGGGGTCTCTGAGGGATGTGAAGCAGGAGGGAGTTGGCAGAGGGCTCTCTGGGAGCCAGCGTGGAGGGTGCCCCCGAGGAAGAGGACGGGGAGGAGGGGTGGTGGCAGTGGCCTGCAGAGGAGGGTGGGCACGGCCCTTGTCCGAGGAGTCCAATTCTGCCGCAGGTCCCCTCAGCAGGGCGGGGGTGGGGGTGCAGGCTGCCAGCCCCGGGGCTGCAGGGTGCAGATCACGGGGTCCAGTGGCTTGAGCGTGGCTTGTTCCTGCAGCCCGAAGCGCTGCCCGGGCACCAGCCGGAACTCCAGCCTCTGCAGCAGCTTGGCCATGACCACCTTCACCTCCATCTGTGCGTGGGGCAGGGGAGGGAGAGCGGGCAGTCAGTGAGCACAGACATTGTGGCCACTGTGTCCCCAGCCCCGAGCCCAGGGCAGCCCTGAGCAGGATAAGACAGTCGCATGGTCACTTCTGCAGCCCTGGCCTCCTACCTGAGCAAACTGCTGTCCAATGCAGGAGCGGGGGCCCAGAGAGAAGGGGAAGTAGGTGAACCTTGGCCTGCAGGGAAAAAGGCGTCAGGAGGTGGCCGCCCCACAACAGGCTGGGCTGGGGTTCAAACACACGGAAAACAGCAGCTGCCTCTGCCAAGCTCTGGCTCGGCATCTTCTCATGTCTGCTCCCTGTGAGCCTTCCAGAAGAGCTATGATCATCCGCACTTCACGTGGAGGGACTGAGGCTTAGAACAGCGACTTGCCCAAGGTCCCAGGTCCCTTACTCATCTGGGCAGCCGCATGTCCAGTTCTGTGCAGTCTGGGTCTGGTCTTAGGGGTCTGCCCCTGGACCTTGCTCACCACCATTGCTTCACCACTTTAACACATTCACTCCCTCGGTGCCCGCCCCCAGGGGAGCCCTCAGTATTCCCATTTCTCAGGTGGGAACATCAAGGCCAAAAGAGGTGCAGTCACTTGCCCAAGTCATAGGGCTTCCCAGTGTGAGAGATTGGTTATGAGCATGGACTCACACCCCAGCCCTGCCACTTACTGGCTGTGCACTCTTGGGCAAGCTACCTAACCTCTCTGAGCTGTGGTGTCCTCCCCCATCAAAGGGGGCTCGGTGGGGCTCACGACTCCCTCATGTTAATCTGGAAGGCTACGTGGGCTCAGTGCGCGCAGGCAGCTCACACCAAGAGAGACCCGGGACCGCCCTCCTCCCACTAGTCCTCCCCTCGGGCACAGCTCGGAGAGAGACTTACTTGGGTGCTTTGGGGCCGAAGCGATCTGGGTTGAAAGTCAGTGGGTCCTCAAAGTATGTGTCCATCCGCCCCATGACGTAGGTGCTGAACTGCCAGGCAGAGGGGACGCTTGCCTCTGGTTCCAAGGATAAGTCCCCTCGCATCTCCCCCACCCTCTGTGGCCACCCAGTGGGGTGACTTGGAGCAGAGGAGTCCCCCAAGCCCCCACCCCCGCTGTACTCCACCCACCCATCCGGGCCCTTGAGGAACCCCGCTGGCCCCTAAGAGGAAGAAAGGGGAGAGCCAGTGTGCCACTGACCACCAGCAGGCACGCTCCATGGTCCCGTGGGAGAGCTACTGGTACCCTTGTTTTACGGATGAGGAAACTGAGGCTCAGAAAGGGTTATGATTAGCCTGAAGTCACCGAGCCTGCAAGCCGGGTTTTCTGCAAGGCCATCTTTCTCTAGATCCCGAGAACTGCTGCTGTTCCGGGCTTCTCTCTGACACCAGGCTTGCTTCGGGGCATGGAGCTGAAGGCCCCGCTAGCCTTTCACCTCCGGATTGGGGTCCGTGCCCCGTGGCCTGCCCCCAGGGGCCATGCATGCCCCCATCTCTGGGGCGCTGGGTACCAGCCTGCACCAGGTGTCTCCCTGAGCTTCTCTGTCTCCAGAACCCAGGCAGTGGGGGCAGAGCAGCTGCACCCCAGCTTTGCAGAGTGGGCCTGGGAGGTGGGGCGTCTCAGCTGAGCAGAGGTGCTGCTCTGGGCCAGGGATTTTGGTCAGATCTGTGACGTCCATTATCCCATTGACTCTTCTCAAAAAACTGTGACCCGGGTACCAGTGACCCCCATCTCACGAGGATGGCACTGAGGCCCGGAGACTCAGGGTCTCACCTGGGAGGACCCAGCCGGCCAGGAGCAGGGCTGGGCTGGGAGCCCGGGTCTGCCCGCCCGAGGCCCACGGGGCTGCACACCCAGGTTGAGGGTCAGCCACAGGGTCCTGTCCTGTCCGGTCTGAGGGCATATTCTAAAGAATCGGGCATTAAGGCAGGTGGTATTGGTGCACACGAGTGTTAAAAAAAGAGAGATAAACAGAATAAAGAACCACACACACGGATGAGGCTTTGGTACATGCAGGGGATGCGTGGCAGAACCCTGGGGACGGGGTGCCACGCAGAAGGGACTGGAACCACGGCGTTCTCCTTCACGAAAATAGAAACAAAAGCGCACCCTGCTGCGGGCTGAATGGTGACTGTATTTGGACATGGGTCTTAAACGAGGCAACTGAGTTGAGACGAGGTCCCTAGGGTGGGCCCTGGTCCCGTATGACTGGGGGCCCTGTAGGAAGAGGAGATGGGGACACAGGCACACACAAAGGGGCCGTGCCGGGACACAGGGAGAAGGCAGCCGTCTGGGAGCCACAGAGAGGGGCGCCCAGGAGACCACCCCTGCAGCCGCTTGCTCTCGGACTTCCAGCCCCAGGCTCTGAGACGCAGTGTTTCTATGGCGGCGGCTGCCCCCCTTGGGCAGACGAATACACGCCCCTCCTTCCACCCCACACAAGGTCAATTCCAAGTAGATAAGAACTTAACTTTCAAACGAAAAAGGTAAAATTGTTAGAAGACAATGGCAGTGACTGTGCTGACTGCCGACTAGGGAAAGATTTCTTACACAAGACAAAGCAAGAGAACCAACCACTGAAAACCTCTTGGAGCCTCAGCGTCCTCAGCTGGCAATGCCCCCTCTCCAACCTCACCCCTGGATGTCACCCGGGGCCGCGTGAAGGGGAGAAAAAGACCTCACAAGGCAGCCAGTGCTGAGAACGGGGCTGCTCACTTCCCTGACCTCAGAGCAGAGCCCAAGTCAGCACCGGCCCTGGGGGCGGCGGGCAGGCAGGGACCCCACTCACCAGGAGTGGGGTGTTGCCAGGGACCCTGACGCCGTCGATCAACGTCTCCTCTTCCAGCAGGCGGAAGGTGCCCCACGCTGGCGGGTATAGCCGCAGCGACTCTTTGAGGACCTATAGGAGCCGCACGGAAGGCGGTGAGAGAAGCCGGGAGACCCCAGGGAATGTGCCCCGGCCCATCTCTGCTCCCACTCACGGCCCTGAATGTGCACCCAAGTTCAGGACCGGGTCCTGGACCCCTTTCCATTCAACTCCCCGTATGACAGAGGAGAAACTGAGGCCCGGAAGGAGAAGGGGTTTGTGCAAAGGCACAGCACCAAGGGCCTGGACCAGAAGCCAGGCCTCCCTCTGAATCAGGGGTCCCACCCCTGGAGACCCCCACATCTCGGACAAGGCCTCCCTTGGGCTTACTCTCCCAGGGGAGGGGGGAATGGCCCTGCACAACCCTGGCCAAGCTGGAAAGTGCAGATACAGCCCCCTCGCCAATGGGCTGGTTTCCGACCTTGCCTGCATGTTGGAATTACCTGGGAAGCCTCCATAAGGTGCAGCCCAGGCCCACCCAGCGCCTTTGATGTCATTGGTCCAGGGGCAGCGTGGGGTGGGATTGTTTTAGTCTCCCAGGGGACTCTCCTGAGCAGTGAGGTTAGAGAACCCCCGTTCTATTGGGCTGGGGAGGCTGCAGGCCTGTATCGATGAAGGTAGGGACATCTGCCCAGAAGCTCCTGCCCCCCCCTTCCCGACACACACACCTGAGACAGGTACTGCAGTCTCCCCAGGTCCTCGTAGTCAAGGTGCCTCTTGGAACCGATGACCTCGTCCACCTCGGCCTGCAGCCTGTTGGGTCAGACAAAGACAAGTTCATCTCCAAGGACAGATGTCCCGATGTGAGCTTCACGAAGCGGGTGGAAGGAAGCACGCATGAGGGGTCTGGGGGGTCCCTGCCTGTGAGCACTGCCCACCCTGTTGTTGAGGACGTCCAGGAACTGCCACATCCAAACCCAGGTGCCCAAGCAGGCGGGAACGACGCCCCAGGGCCCTGTACAGGCCACCCGTTGGGTTCACTGCTGGGAATCGGCTGCAGGAAATCAACGACCCGAGGACACGGCTTTGCCCACAGACGCCCGTCTCAGCCCAGGTCACCGGCTGGAAACGGTGGGCTGAGCGGTGCGGGGACTCTGCTTGAGTGGACTTGGGGACACGCACTGTTAGAATGACGTGCAGCACGGGAGTGGAGGGGGACCACCCCACACCCACTGGGGGGCGGCTATCAAAGACGGAAGAGCACGCATGTGGTGAAAGAGCACGCGTGTGGTGGGGACAAAGGGAAACGGCAACCCGGTAAACCATTGGCGGGAGTGTGCGTGGTGCAGGTGGAAAATGGTGTGGCAGGTGCCTCAAAAAATTAAACACCAGGACTTCCCCTAAGATGGAGGCATAGGTGGAAACACTGTACCTTCTCGCACAACCAAGTTTAAAAACAACAAAGTTTTAGCAACAAAAACGCAGCCAAACCACAGAAAATTGAACTACACGGAAGTCTGACAACGAACCCTTCAGCCAAACTGGTAAGAGGGGCAGAGCCAGCAGCAGAGCAGGGTCGGACAGGAAAGATCCACCAGACTGACCCGGGTGCGTGACCCAGGCACGCCATGGCAGCTGTGGGCAGATCCCAGGTGTGGAGTAGCAGGCAGACCCACTGAGGGTGCAAGGCGGTGGACTCACTGAGGGCTGACCATGGTCACACATTCGCGCGCAGATAAACCAGCAAAGGAGCGAGCAGTGAGATGGATCGCGAGGGCCCCAGCGATGGGAAGCAGCAGAGGGAACCGCCATTGTCCCTCTTTGACCCCACCCCCACATACAGCGTCACAAACCAGCGGCCTGGGTGGCCCCGCCCTGGTGAACAACTAAGGCTCCACTCCTCATACTTAACAGGCACGAACAGATCAAAACATGGCTCAAGAACAACTCAGAGCCCTGGAACCCATAAATCTAAGTGAACAAGAAATTGCCAAACTTTCAGATGCAGAGTTCAAAACACTGGTGATCAGGATGCTCACAGAACTGGTTGATTTTAATCACAAATTAGAGAAATATATGAAGGCTAAACTAATTGAAATGAAGGGAAATGCACAGGAAACCAATAGTGATGGAAAGGAAACTGGGACTCAAATCAAGGGAGTGGACCAGAAGGAAGAAAAAACAACCAAACAGAAAAGGATGAAGAAACAAGAATTCAAAAAAATGAGGAGACACTTAGGAACCTCCAGGACATCTTTAAACATTCCAACGTCTAAATTATAGGGGTACCAGAAGGGGAAGAGGAGCAGCAATAAGTGGAAAACTTATTTGAACAAATAATAAAGGAGAACTTCCCCAATCTGGCAAAGGAAATAGACTTCCAGGAAATCCAGGAAGCTCACAGACTCCCAAAGAAGTTGGACCCAAGAAGGAACATACCAAGGCACATCATCATTACATTACCCAAGATTAAAATGAAGGAGAGAATCCTAGAAGCAGCAAGAGATAAGGGGACAGTCACCTACAAAGGAGTTCCCATCAGACTGTCAACTGATTTCTCAAAAGAGACCTTACAGGCAAGAAGGGGCTGGAAAGTACTATTCCAAGTCATGAAATCCAAAGACCTACATCCAAGAATGCTCTATCCAGCGAAGTTTTCATTTAGAATGGAAAGGCAGATAAAGTGCTTCTCAGATAAGATCAAATTCAAGGAGTTCATCATCACCAAGCCCTTATTATATGAAATGTTAAAGGGACTTACCTAAGAAAAAGAAGATAAAAAAGATGAACAGTGAAAGGACAGCAAACTCACAGTTATTAATAACCACACCTAAAACAAAAGCAAACTAAGAGGATAGCTAGATCAGGAGTGAACCATAGAAATGGAGATCACATGGAGGGTTAGCAACAGGGGAGTGGGAGATGGAAAAGGGGGGAGAAGGGGGGAGAAGGTATAGAAAATAAGTAGCATAGACAGTAGGTAGAAAATAGACAGGGGGAGGGCAGGAATAGTATGGGAAATATAGAATCTAAAGAACTTAAGACATGTGGTCATAAACTAAAGGGGGAGGAATGGTGGGGAAGGGGGTGTGCAGGGTGGAGGGGCATGAAGGGGGAAAACAGAACAAATGTAATGGCATAATCAATAAAATATATTTTAAAAAAAAAGTTAAACATGGGGTTGCCATACGACCCGGCAGTTCACTTGTGGAGAAGTAAGGCCTCGAGTAAACCTCTGCACACTCGTGTTTGGAGCGGCATTATTCACAACGGCCACAGGTGGGAGCAACCTAGGCATCCACGGGTGGACACACAAGGCGTGGACCCTCCACCCAAGACTCCACAGATGACTCCGTCCTATCAAAGAAGGACATGCTGACACCCGTGGCCTCGTGGATGAACCTGAGGACAGTGCCCGGAGGGAAACGCGCAGGCTCCAGAGGACACACAGCCCTGACCCACGTACAAGTGTGGGGCACACAGTGCGACTGAGCAGCGGATGGAAAGTAGAGTGGGGGTCACCAGGGGCTTGGGAGGGGGAGGGGAGTCCAAGTTTAGTGGGGGCAGAGTGTCAGTTTGGGAAGGTTCTAGGTACCCGACAATGCCACCGCACTGCATGATGCCGCGCTATACAGTTAAAATGGTACATTTTAGGTTATATGTGTACGTTTCCCCACAATGTTTTTAAAAACTGGATTTGGGAAGAGGTTGCAGTAATGTGGGGTAAAAAGTTAACCGTGAACTGCCTCTGGGTGGGCGGGGCCGCCGTGGATGAATTTTTAAAAATTATTATTTTAACTTTTCTGCTCTTTTCCAAAGTTTCTATGAAGAGCATATTATTATTACATCTCTTTGGAAACCTAAGAAACTATTTCATATTCTCACGAAGCCATTCACATGCCCTTTTGTGCCGTGAGAGCTGCTGACAGCAGGCCCTGCCCACCTCCCAAGCGCTCCCCGCCCTCCCCCAACGCCAGGTAACGTTTTTGGAGGGCTGTCACCTTCGGCTCAGTCAGTCCGGGCCACCCACCTAAGGGAACTAGTTGGTATGTAAGGATACCAGTGGCCCTGCTCAAATGCCATCCCTGCAGGCACGGCCTCCTCATCCGGCCAGCCGAAGGCCAGCGCTCCCCACACTTGTCTGGGGGTCCTGCTCAGGCCTCAGTGGCAGCCCCGGGTCGGGCACTAAGTAGCCATGGGGCGGGAAGGAGCCACCGCTCCAGCCCCTTGGAGCTGCCAGTTCCGTGAGTGAAACAGACTTGAAGCAAACAGTCCCAGAAGGAAATGAGCTGAGAGGATGCTAGTGGCTACTTTAGGGGTCTGAGAAACAGGAGACGAAGACGGGGGAGAAGGAAGAGGAAGGGAGGAGGCAGAGGAGGGGAGGAGGAAGAGGAGGGGAGGAGGAAGAGGAGGGGAGGAGGAAGAGGAAGTGAGGAGGCAGAGGAGGGGAGGAGGAAGAGGAAGGGAGGAGGCAGAGGAAGGGAGGAGGAGGAAGAAGAGTTGTTATGCTCTGGGAGAGAAGCAGGGAAAAGAGCTTCTGGAGAGAGAACAGCATGTGCAAAGGCCCTGGGGTGAAGAGCTGCAGCACACTGTGTGGAGGGCTCAGCCCTGATGTGGGAGCAGGTGGCCCGCTAGGAATCAGGCATCAGACAAATGCTGCGCCGACATCAGGGGAGCCTCCCAGCCCCGGACCCCCATACCTGGCCAAGATCTCTGGCTGGCGTGACAGCTCCATCACCGTGAACGCCAGGTGGTTGGCAGAGGTCTCGTGGCCTGCAGGAAAGGACAGAGTGGCTGCAGGCCCAACTTCCGAGACTCCAAACCCCTGGCAGCAGCTCAGGCCCTCACTTCTGCCCCCCATGGTTGTGCTGGACATACGGATGTAGAGGGATGTCTGTCCACTTCCGCCTCGCCTGACCCTGCCAGTGTGGTCAAATAAACACCACATGTCCCCATGCATCCGCTTTTCACTCTGAAAGGCCCTTCCTCCAACCGTCCTTGAGCCTGGCCTGGAGGGACATCTGTACCCATTTTGCAGAAGAGAAAGCCGAGGCTGAGAGAAATGTGTGTCTCTGAAGTCACACAGCAGGAGTGACAGGGCTGGGACTAGAGTCATGCAGACTTTGGAGCCCAAGGCCGTGTCCACACAGTGGGCACCAGCACCTGAGGTCTGGAGGGGGCACACCTTCAGTGGCGGGGACCACCGGGTGGCTGCCCCTCTGTGGGCAGGGGGCCGATTCTGAGTTCTGGCAGGATCTGGCCAAGGTGACGGTCAGCGCGTTCCGCTGGCCTGGGGAGGAACTGCCCGCACCGCTGGAATTTCCTCTACAGGGGTAGGGGGCCTCCCAGCTGGGACCCACTGCCTGCCAAGGGGTCCCGGTGGGGGTGGGGCTGCCTGGAGGGAGAGAAGGGACGGCACCTCACGGCATCCGGGTGGTGGGGAGGGAGGGGGAACATCAGGGCCCTGTCTGTCTGTCCATCTACCACCACCACCAGATGACAAACTTCCATGTTGTTCACCTCTTCTCCCCAAGACTAGCATCATTCACTTGTTCGCACATGTCATCTAGTCTTCACGGGCACCTACTGTGCTGGGGCCCAGGAATACACAGGTGAGCAAAACAACATAACCTCTCGCCCACCAAGCCTGCCATCTGTGGGGGGATGGGCGTCATGGAGCCACACCAACAAATATACAACTGAACCCATGAGACGTGTGGGCAGAGGAGCTCTGGGCACCTTGGTGAGCTTCTAACTGGGGCCGGAAGAGTCTGGGCAATCCCTGAGGGCTTCCCTGAGGAAGCACCACCTGAGGGAGCCCTGAAGAGTGAGGAGGAGTTTTCTAGGTGAAGACAGATACTCAAGAAATATTTGATGAGCAAATAAATGAAGCTGCTTCCCACAAATTCTGAGTGAGGGGGAAGCTTGAATTCATATGCCAAGCTTGTCTGACCCCAAAAAGATACCATCACAAGTCCCCATGGCTGCCAGCTCCATTAACAGGTCAGGGGCCACCAAGGAGACCTCCTGGACCTCCCTGAGCAGAGAGGGGAGGCTTCCACTCCCCTCATTCCAGCCCCCCAATTCCCCAGCGTAAGTCCACTGAGACAGACAGCCAGAAAAATCTGAGTCAGGGTTTAAAGGAGCTCTGAGCCCTCGGTCACCGACGAAACTACGAACCAGCAATGAAGAAGGTGACAAAGTTGTCCAGCAGAACCTCGTCATCCTGGGCGCCCTCTTCAGCTGAAAGACAGGGAGCGGCTCAGGTCCCAGCAGCAATGCCTGCGGCACGCATCCCGTTCCTTTCCCACAGCTCGTGAAGACGCCCCCCAGGAGGCACCCAGCCACCCCGCCCTCCCCGGGAACCCCCGCACCTTTGAGAATCTGTGTGAGGATGTCGGCAGGGACCTTCTCTCCCCTCTTCAGGGCCTCCCTGCGACGCTGGACCCAGTCCTTGCCCACCTGGCGCAGAAAGCGGATGCTCTCCCGGATCTCGCGCAGCTGTTTCCACTTCCCAGGCATGAACTAAAAGGAGATTCCAGTGCAAGAGGGTCCACTAAGAACAGAAACCTCCCTCTCCCCTCTCCCCCAGCTCTGAAATGACAGTAAATCCCAGCAGCAAGCAGGGAGGTCTGAAGAATGTGAGAAAATTCTAGGAAAAGATAAAGGAGCCAGGGAGACTAGATCAAGAAAGCTGGCTAAGCTCCAAGCATCCATTGGCTTCCTCTGCCAGCTTCAAATCCATAGAAAGGATGGGAAAGATGCCTGAAAACATTCAGAAAGCAATGGAAAATAAGAAGGGATCCCCCAAAGGATGGAGGCAGTAGGGACTACGGTGAAGGAGGAAACCACAGCCAGAGGGCAGCGAGGTGGAATCAGCAACCCCCCAAAAAATGGGGCAGCATCAGAGGACTGCCAACTGGGAGGTGATAGCTGGAGCTGCAGCAGCCATCTTATGACAATGAGGTTATGTACTAAAAACAGAACAAAAGAAAATCCGGGAACATCTGGCATTGTGGAGCCGTCCTAAGCATCCTAGATGGCCTGTTCCGGGGTCATTTTACATTAGAGAAAGATGACCTCCCAATTTACTTAAACCAGTTTCATTTTGAGCCTCTATTTTAGGCAATGTATGGGAACCCTGAATCGGGTCGGAAATCACTTCAGACAGGCGTACCAGCGCTCCAAACTCATTCTGAAAAAAAAAATCACTTGGAGGAGGTGCTCCAGCGAATGAGGACAACACAAGTAGGGTGGCTGATCGCCGATAGGGGGGCCGAGGTGGTACCTTTGCCAGGGTGTTGCGGGATGCAGTGATACCCTCTAGTATTAGCTTCACTTTCCCGGACAGAGGCTTCTGGGCTCCCAGCAGCATGCTGGTCTCCATCCCGAAAGCTGCCTGGGGAGAGAGAAGAACAAGGTCACACTCAGGGCTGGGAGGACCAAACGCTGGAACCAAGCTCAGTGCCATTTGGCTGGAGACCCAGGCCCTGGCTACGGGCTGACAAGCATTGTGTCACCGACTCCTCAGATGGAGCCACATTGAATATCGTGAGGATTAAGTAGCATGTAGTAGCTGCTAAATAAACCTAGGGCTCCCCCCTGATGAGATGCATTTCGCCACTCCACACCCAGCTTCCCAGTGGATTGGTGAATGACCATGACCCTCACTCACTGTCCCCAGCCTCCAGCTGCCTGACCTGCCTTTATCTGGGTTTGGGGTTCACGGGGCCACTGCTGGGTCTGCCAAGGTAAGGATTCAAGCCATTACCCATGAGGGAGTGTGAGGGGGAGGTGGGCTTTGGGGTGGGAGTCAGGGAGACCTCGGATCTGGTTCTGCTTCTGCCCCTGTTTCTGCCCCTGACTGGCCACAGGCCAGTGCCCACCCCTCTCGGGGCCCATTTTGAGAGGAGGAGCTAGAAGCTCCAGTCTCACGCCAGGTGTTTTGAATAGTCGAGAGCTGAAGCTCCAAGGGGCAGCTGGTAGAGGAGAAAACGAGGGAAGAGGGAGGGAAGGGGAGCCCTCCCCCCAGGAGGCATGCTCCGCCCACCCCCGTGTCCACCCACCCATCACCTTGGCCAGGATGTCTATGGTGGTGCAGGTCAGCATTTCCTGCATGGACACCGGGGTCTGCCCGTCGGCCTTGGCCTCCAGGATCTCCACCAGCTGCTCTGCTTTCTCATTAAATGTTCCCATCAAGCTGACCAAGGAGCTGCGGAGACGGCACGCTCATCAGCGGCCACCAGGACCAGCCTGAGGCTTTGGCCGTCCTGCGGCCCCTCTCCAGAGGCAGGCCCCCCACCAGCCTTTCTGGCCTCCCCGCAAGGCCCAGCCCCCAGGCTGGGGTTTCGGTAATCCAACCAAGCCTTGGGGTTCCACCACTCCCCTCCACTCAGAATGGCTGCTGCCCTTGTCCTCAGGGTTCCCTGGGTCTGCCACTGGACCCCTCGACTCTGACCTCAGGGGGCTGTGACAGAGCAGAAGCTGCAGAGGGCCATGGGAAGGAAGGGAAGGGAGGTCTCTGGTAACTGCGGGACCCAGGCAGCTTCCCCTCCAACCTCTCTGCCGGCACAGCCCACTCCCCTGGCCTGTCTGGCCCCAGGCTGCCACCTGCAGCCTCATTTTCCCATTCCACCCTCGTCCTTGAGAAGTCACAGTGCCCAGCCCTGCAGGGACATGAGTCCTCAGACCCAGAGCTCCCCACCACAGCACGCCCCCGCCCCCGACAGCCATCGGGCCCACCCGGCGGGCGTAGAGCTTAGAAAGAGGTATGGGAGGAGGCTCTCAAACCCCACAAAAATGGTACCCCTGAGGGAAGGGGGGGAGGCTGCCACCTGGCACATTACATATTCCTGATTTTATATGAACAGGAAGTGCTGCTCTTGAAATTAAAAGCAATTTTTAATATTAACAATCTTGCCAAAGGATAGAGGGGTGTTCTATTTCCTACTCCAGTTCTCAAAACTTATCTAGGAATTTGACGTTTCCAAATGCAAAGTTAAAAAAAAAAAAAGCCACATGGGAGAACAGAAAAAAGGAGCGATTTTTTAAATCAGGAAAGAAAACCAGCTCTTCCCTGCCCATCCCCCAGCCCTGCTCCCGCTTCCCACTCTCACACCTGCATAAGCATCCTCCTGCCCAGGGCTGCCCGCCCGCACCCCACACAGACTGCATATCTTACCCTCTGTGGCCAAGGCCTGACTGAAAGCACCACTGATCCAGCCCCTCACCACCTAAAACACTTACAAGCACCTAGTCACTTCTAGGAGGGAGGCAATAACCCTCACCGGGACCATGGGGGCGCTCTGTCCCTTGCTGACTTCCATCCAGAGTTTTGCCTTCCTGTTCCAGTGGCCTGTGGGCACCTCCAAAGCACACCACTCCTTCCCACCTCAGGGCCTTTGCACATGCTGCCCTTCTGCCTGGAGCTCTCCTCCTCGCCACCTCCCATCCCCATGCCTCGGTACCACCCTTAATGCCTGTCCGCTCTCCAGAGGGACACCCAAATGCCACTTCCCGAGGAAAATGTCTCTTGAGCCCATGCAGGCCCAATGCAGGTAGTGCCCACACTACCACAGCTTTGTCACGCTCACATGGTGTGCAAGCACATGCTTATTTGCGAAGTTATTTGCAGCTCTCTCTTTTTCTTTTTACATCACAGTCAGGTGGGCTGCTCAGATAGCGTGAGGCCGGCGGTCACGCCAGCACTGGGTCTCCTGCCAGCTTGGGGCTGGAGCGACCGCGGTACAGTGAAGCCCAGCCCCTTGTCCTTGGCGAGAACAACCGGGACCAGCGTCTTTCCATCCGAGCAATGTCTGAAAAAGCAGAAACTGGCCATTTGCTCTCCCAGTTTTATTGAAAGTATATAATAATCAGTAAATGAATGGATCAAAAAATTGTGGTACATATACACCATGGAATTCTATGCAGCAGAGAGAAAGAAGGAGCTACTACCCTTTGCAACAACATGGATGGAACTGGAAAGCATTATGCTGAGTGAAATAGGCCAGGCATTGAAGGACAAATACCATATGATCTCACCTTTGACAGGAAGCTAAAGAATAAAACAAACAAGCAAACAGAATAAAAACAAAGACGCTGAAATAGAGAACAAGTGGGCAGCGACCAGAGGGGAGAGGGAAGGGAACTTAAGGGGGAAAAAGGGGGGAGGGATTTTGAGGAACAAGTATGAAAGACACAGGGATGAGGACTGGGGGGGGGGGAAATGGGAGGGAGGGGGGAGACCGGGCGGTGGGGTGGGATGGGAGAAATAGATAAAAAAAAAATGTACTTGAAAAGTAACTAAATAAAATTTAATATTAAAAAAAAGAAAGTATATAATAATCTATATGGATCATGGCTGGAGATGAAACTCGCTAAGTGGTTTCTAGTTTTTCCTTGTTAGTGAATTAGAATTCAGCAAGTGTCAAAACACTTTCTTCTCTCTCTCTCTCTCTGTCTCTCTCTCACAAAGGGAAAGAGGGTTCAAGGTGAAGCAGTGAGCCAGAGCGCACTTGCCACAGGTGGGCCAGCCCCAAACACCTCCCAAAGTTTCTCTCGTCCAGCCTGGCGAATTCTGCATTTGCCATAGAAGCATCCTCACTGCCTCACTGAGACTGAAAATAACAGCACGGGGTGAGGGAGACGCTGAGCACCGCCGAACTGCACACCGAGCCTGGGCGCAATGGTGGAAGTTATGTTACAGGGATGTTACCCCAATTAATTTAAAAAACAAGAATGTTGTGAAGGCATTTACTAAAAGTGTGAAGTACAGTTCAGATGCCAGGGCCTGTGTGCAGAGGGTCCACCAAGACAGTGGCCCTGGAGCTGAGTCACGTGCGCTGGGAGCGGTCATCTGGTTTGAGTCTCTGTCCTCCATGACGCCAAAGCTGCCCCAGGGCCGGGACCCTGGAGCCTTCACGGGCGGTCGTCACCCTGGCTCTTGGCACAAGCAGCGTTTGTTAAATCAATGCCTCTTTCTCATCCATCCCTTCTGCTTGCGCCCCTGGCCTCTCTCCAGTCACACCAAGGCCTTTCAACCCACTACTTCATTCATGCACTCCTTCGCTCTGCAGACATTCCTGGAGGGCTTGTGGCGGGTTCAGTTGCAGTGCTGGGCGTGGTGCTGGGTGCGGGGCTGCAGGGGCAGCGGCTTCTCCAGTTTTCCAAAGCACGGGGTCTAGTGAGGAGGTGGGGGAGGAGCCCCGCAGTGGCGTGGCACTCGGCCTCACGGTGGAGCTCAGCAGCAAGGTTCGGGGACAAGCTCCCGAAGCAGAGCCACCTCCTCTGGGTGTCAGAGGAGGCCTGGGCCTCTCGGGGAGCACAGAAGGCAGGGGGTGGCAGGAACGTGGGCAGAGGTGCCAGGAGGGGCCCAGCAATTTCAGAAAAGTGGGAGGGAGGGTACAGACACTGGAGGGGCCCAGGGACCAGAAGGCCGTGGGCGTGGTCCAACCCTCATGGTTCAGATGACAGGGAGCTCTTGGAGGCCTCAGGGCAAGGGAGGAAGGCGGTCAGACCTGAATTTCAGCCAGATCTCTCCCTGGAGTGCAGCGGACGCATTGGAGGAGGGAGCCCGTAGGCAGAGAGGCGATGAGAGCCGAGATGGCATGTGTACACGCCCGCCCACAGATTAATTACACACTGACTAGTGACTTCCCAGCAGGGAGACCTGGGGCACACTGCCCTCACCAAGTGAGCGCAGGTGACGTCTCCCCAATGACAGAGCGACAGCACGTGCCTCCCGAGTGCGTGCCCCGAGGAGGCCACGCCCTCGCTTCTGTGCCATTCCCACCAAAAAGCCCAGGCTGAGCGTGACCGCGCAGATGCGGCAGACGGACTCGGGTGGCAGAGCGGTCAGCAGAACTGGCCTGTGCTCTCGAGGTCCAGAAAGTCAAGGGAAGACTGAGGCCTGTTCTACAGTGATGGAGAAAGAGACGTGGTAACCAAACGAAACACAAGAAGCTGGACTGGATCCCAGATGAGGAAACAACAGCCGTAATTGCACAAATGACGAAATTGGAATGTAGGTTGTGGATAACAGTACTGGATTGGTGTTAAATGTCCTCGTTTTGATACCTGAGCCACAGTCATGGGAGAGAATGTCCTTGTTCTCAGGAAAGGCACACAGAAATATTTTAGAGAAGGGACCTCAATGTCCCCAACTTACTCTGACATGGCTTTCAAAAATGCACTGTATGAAATATGAGTATATGCATGCAAGCACATAGAGCATGGTAAGTATATTTGTGTATAGACATAGAGAAAAAATGGTCAGTTAAGCAAAACCAGTAAGTGAATCTGGTAAAAGATATACAGGGTCACCAGACCCTCCGGGCAGTCCCTCTGCAAATGTGAGACTGTGTCACAGTAAAAGGTCACCTTCCTGCGAACATTAAACATGGGCCTGTGTGACCCTGCCATCTCCTCCTGGGTATACAACCAAGAAAAGTGGAGACGTTCTTGTGCACGCTCAGAGCAGCGTGATTCGCAGAAGCCGAAAACTAGAAACAACTCAAACGTCCATCAGCTGCACCTGTGGTTCATCCACACGGTGGAATATTATTTGGCAACGAAAAGGGATGAGTTTCTGACCCGTCCTGTAATACGAACGAACCACAAAAACACAACACCATGGGAAAGAAGCCAGACAGAAAAGATCACACTTTGTGTGATTCCACTTGCAGGAAATGTCTAGAATACAAAAATCCACAGACAGCAGTGGAGTGGCTGCCAGGAGCCGTGGGCACCGGGAGGGCACGAGGGATGACTCCTTTTTGGGGGTGATGAAAACGTTCTGAAATTGACTATGGCGACGGTGACATGAGTTTTGAGTATACCAGAAACCATTCAAGTGCACTCTGTAAATGGGTGAATTATATCTGAGTAGAAGTTCCTTAAAAATAAAATGTTACCCCAAAGTAGAAATAATAATAATACATAAAATAAAAGGCCCGACCAGGGAAGTTCCTCGGGGACAGGGACCTGCACCCCTCTCGGCACCGTTGGCCCTCAACCCTCAATGCTCACAAATCACACGGGGGCCTCGCTCGGCCTCATGTCCCCCTGGCTGGCCTCTTCCCTCTGTCCCTTCTTCCTGGACGAGACTCCCTCGGATGAAGACCCCGCTTCCCAAGCCTACCCACGCCAGGCAGCCCAGCACCGCCTCTGACCGGCCGGAACCCAGGCTGCCTGGCCGCGGCCACACTCACCTGCGACTGAAGGCCAAGTCCATGACTCTCCGCTGCTTGTGCCAGCGCTCGTAGTCACACTCGGACACCAGGCCTTGGCCAAACAGCCTGTGGGACACAGACACCTGGTGAGAGAGACCGCTGAGGGACCGCCTCTCGGGCACGGGGTCCCCTTCTGGGGTCGTGAAACCCTCTGGGACTAGACAGAGGCGACGGCTGAACCACGTCGCGAATGATGTGCTAAATGCCGCTGAACTGAACCTCTAATGTGATTAAGGTGGTGGACGTTATGGTCTGTGAACTTAACCATGATACGAAATAAATAAATGGGAAAGAAGTGGGGTGACGGTGTGCCCCAACTTCAGCAACCTCGCACTTCCTCTGTCATCAGAGAGGAAAGAGGAATGGGAAGGAGCTAAGACAAGGGCAGTGGCCACGGTGCGTGGGGCACCCATTATGGGCCCGGCAGCCAGGGCCTTGGACCCTAATGCTACCGCTCCGGAGCCCGTGGGCCCCTGCCACATGCCTCCCCTGGGTCCCCTCCTCACGCCTTACCTCTCACCAAACACAGTCTGGATGGCGTGGTACATCTTGGAGTCCTTGTTGTACTTGGTGGACATCAGGAACTTCTAAACATGCCCAAAAAACCAACATCAGCCCGTGCACCCGAGGTGCAAAGGACTTGGCAGTTTTGATTCTTGTGAAACGAACCCCAAATGATCCCCTGAGCTGAACGCCAGCTACAGGGGAAACGCTTCACACGTATGACCCCTCCTAACCCTCCAGACGTCCCAGCCTCAAGCAGCAGCATCCTATTCAGGGATGAGGAGGGTGGGGCACTGAGGGGGGAGTGATTATCCTGCAACCAGAGCCGCTGGGAGGGAGGGTTTCTGGGGCACAGGAGAGACACGTGGCACAGATCTGGGGTTGTTGGTGCTGACCGAGCCATGGAAGTCCTGGAAGGCTTCCTGGAGGAAGGGTCGACTTCCTCACCAAGGGTAATAACTGACGACTCTGGCAGCCGTGTAGCCCAGGTGTTAACAGCTCGGGCTGAGGAGTCAGCTGGCTCGAATCTGAGAGGCTCGACATCCTCACTCCGCACTTTGCACTAACAACTCTATGACGCTGGGCAAGTTAACCCCTCCTCTGGGCCTCAGTTTCCTCATCTTACCAGATGGGCAAAAGAAGAGTGCCTGCCTGGTAGGCTTGCTGCGAGGAAGAAATTTGTTCTACGCGACAGAGCCGAGAATGGGGTCTGGCGCACGGCGGGTGCTCCGTAAACACCTCTGGGTGTCTTGGAGACCATTTACTGCAGGTCAACCCTGAGGCATGGTGGTACTTATATGCTTATTGACACGTAGATGAAGAAGTCTGAGACTGAAAACTGGCCCAAGGTCACACTCGCGGTAGGTAAATGGCCACAGGATTTGGATCCAGACCATTTGCTTTCTGGGAGGGGAGACGCAACCTTGGTCCTCAGGGGAAGCCAGGGTCGCTGGGTGCATTCAGGCACAGGTGTGCGGAGTGGGAAGGGGTGGGAGAGGCCTGGCCTGGGGGGCGCTGAGCCGGATCCTGTGGGTGCGGGAAACAGGGCGGGCGTGTCATCTCTGCTGCGCACGCACCTGGGGGCTGCCTGTGTCTGTGAGATTTGCTCCGGGGTCTAACATCAATTTTCAGCTAAAAGGAACCCCCAGAATGGGTGGCCCTACTGCCCCTCAGACACGGTTGTTTGTAAGCCAAGTCCTGTCACTCACTACCCCACTCCCAAAGCGTCCTCTCCTGCAAAAAGTTGTGAGTGGACGCCAGCCTCCCAGGCCCCCTCAGACATCCCTGAGCACTCTGAGGTTTGTGCCAGTCCCAACCTGGAGGACGGACCCCTCACACGGAGGCAGAGCTGCCTCAACACCAGCTCTGAGCAGGGGTCCCCATGGCAGCTCTCCCTGGAACTGGGGATCCTTTGATGGCCCGGCGAGCCTGGTTCTAGGACACACGGGGTGCAAAGAGCACCCTCGGCACGTTGCTGCCCTCTCCGGTCGTCCCCACTGACAGCACACTAGTGCTGTAACTGCTGGGGGCTTGCCCTCCTGCCGTGAGCAACAGTGACACAGATGAGATGGATGGAGTGTCTGTTTTCTGACCCTGAGCACAGACAGCGCAGCACTGTGAGTAGTGGGAGAAAGGAAAGGCGGGGTGGGGGCGGGGAGAGACGCGAGCCATACAACCTGGGATGACTCCAGCTTTCTGTCGAGACCCAATTTTGGGGCAAAGATACCAGAAGCAGAAGGTCAGGTAGAGCCCAGCAGCCTTTCCAAATTTATGGGCCAGAGACCAGGGTCCAGGCCAGAGAGGGACGGAGTGGGCAGGGCAGAGCCCCCGAGAAGAGGAGAGCTATGCACAGAAAGAGATCCTATGTGGAAACTCTTGCATCTTTGGATACATACCAGTCTGTGCACGTGTAGAGTAAAACTCCACCAAGACTGGTTAAAAAAAAAAACAATTTCTGGGAAGGGAGAATTACTGAGTAACTACGGGCTGAACAAGTATTAGAGCTTACGCAGGCCATGAATTGTTCGAGTTTCCATAGGCCAGAGTTAAACCTCAGACGTGAGGCCTTGTTAGAGGCCGCAGAAGGGTCAGTCATAGCAGTGGGGCTAAACCAGCTCCACAGTAGAAGTCCACTCTGGGTTAACCCCACAGAAGCCTTCCAGCAAACCCGGAAAGGGTCAAACTGACCTGCAAGTACCTTTACCCTCCTCTGTGATGAAGTCCAGCACTCCTTGACGGAATGAAACAAAATCAGGCACTCAACAACACGCAACTCACAATGTCCAGTGTGCAGTGGAAAGTCACGGGACATGCCAAAGAGCCGGAAATCCTGCCCTATAACCAGGCCCAGAAAGAATAGAGATGACGGAATTCCCAGACAAAAACTTTAACACATTACAAATACTGCAAATACGCTCAAGGGACCCACATATCCAAGAAGTTCAAAGAATCTACATAGAACTGATGCAAAGAAGTGTACACCAAGGCAGATCATAATGAAATTTCTGAAACCAGTGATAAAGAAAAGTCGTAAAAGTAGACAAAGATAAAGTGGTACCAGAGTATGTGAAGATGGGTTGATCTGAGTTAACGATTACGCGATAAACCTGAGGACAAACACAGAGAGAGAGCGCGAGGGCTAATAACACAATAATGAAGATAAAATGAAACACTTCATCCTACTCCATCCCAAAGAAGGCAGGGAAGGAGGAGGGGAACGAAGAACAAATGGGACGAAGGGAAAACAAACCACGTTGTGGCAGATCTGAACCGAACCACACCGATGATCACATCAAATGTAAATGACCTACGCACTCCAATGAAAAGGCAGAGATTGTCAGACTGTATAAAACAGCAAGATCCAACCATACGCTGTCTACAAGGAACCTGCTTTGAAATATAAAAACCCAGGTAGGTTAAAAGTTAAAGAAAAAAAGAGGCACCATGCGCCGCTAAGCATAAGACGGCTGAGGTGGGTGTATTCGTACTGGACAAAATATATTTTAGGAAATAGAATATTACACCAAGGATAAGTGGAGGGATTTCTAAAGATAAGGGGATCAGTTCACCCCAACACATAACCACAATAAATGTGTACACACCTAATAATACAACTTCACAATGCGTGAAGCAAAACTGATAGAACTGAAAGTAAATACAGACAAATTCGTGATTGTGGTTGAAGAGTCCAACACTCCTCTTTCAGAAATTGCTAGACCACATAGATAAAATATCAGTGAGGATTGAGATTACAGTAACACTGTCAGCCAGCTTGACCTCATTGCTGTTCTATCCTCCCTCCACTGATATTTCTAAAACACCCCATTCAAAATGACAGAATATACATTCTTTTTAGTGCTCATGAACATTCATAAAGACAGACCATATGCCAGTCAGGCAACAAGCTGCAATTAATTAATTTTGTTTGTTTGTTTCTAAGCTGCAGTTAACTTAAAAGCATTAAAATCATGGGCAATGTTTTCTCTGACCTTACAAAATTAAATCAGAAATCAATAACAGAAAACTATTTGGGAAATCTCATTACATTTAGAAATTTAGTAACACACATTTAAATAATCTGTGGTTCAAGAAGTAATCAAAAGGGAAGTGAGAAATTACTTGAATCTGAATGAAAATAAAAGCACAACATATTGACATGTGTGCTACATTTGTGGTGATACAGTGTTTATGGGAAATGTGTAACTTTAAATGCTTCTCATGAGGAAACAAAGTCTAAAATCAATGACCTAAGTTCTCACCTTAAAACAGTAGAACAAGAGCAAATAAACTCTGAGTGAGTAGAGGAAGGGAATAAAAAAGAGAAGAAATCAACAAGTAGAAAACAGACAAACAGTGGAGAAAAACAGTAAGACCAACAGCAGGTTCTTTGAAAGATAAGCCTGATCAACCTCTTGCTACTCTGGTAAGAAGACAAGAGAGCCCGGGCTGGTGTGGGTCAGCGGACTAAGCGTCCGCCTGCGTGGGAACCAAAAGATCTGTGGTCTGATTCCCAGTCAGGGCACGTGTCTGACCTGTTGCGGGCCAGGTCCCCAGGAGGAGGTGCTCAAGGGGTAACCACACAGTGATGTTTCTCTCCCTCCCTTTCCTTCTCTAAAATTAAATAAAATCTTAAAAAAAAAAATCCCATGTTCCTTAAAAAAAAAAAAAAAAGGCAAGAGAAAGTTACTTCTCTCAGAAAGGGAAGAGGGACATCACACAGATGTGGTCGACATTAAAAAGATAATAAGTCAGTATTGTGGACAAATTTATACCAATAGTTTCAACAATTTAAAAGAAATAGATTCCTTGAAAGGCCCCAAACTCAAGAAAAAATAGAAAGTTTGGATGGCCATATATCAATTAAATAAATTGAATGTGTAATTAAGACGAAACAAAGAATGCCCTCAAAAAAAAAAATGCCAGGATGCCAGGCCCAGATGGCTTCACCAGTGAGTTCTACAAAACATTATAGGAAGAAAGAACACCACTCCTATATAAACTTTCAGAAACCAGAGCAAAGGAACCATTTCCCAACTCATCTTATGAGGCCTGTTAACCTGGTACCAAAACCAGACAAAGGCATTATAAGAAAAGAATAAAGAAACAAAAATTTGTAATAAAAGATGAGCAAATGATATGGTGTCCAGGAATGCAAGGCTGGCATAACGCTGGCCTGTCTCCCAGCGTAGTTAGGAATTTCTCCGTTTCCTTTCTCACTGAGCATCGTGAAGGTTTTGGTAGCATGCATTAAAAAGTCTTAAACTATGTCTGTATTTAAAAATCAACTTTTTAAAACAAAACTATTTACAAAATTTTTTTAAACTTTTCTTATTGTTGTTCAAATACGGTTGTCTCCATTTTCCTCCCACTCCCCCAAACAAAATTATTTTTAATGCCCTGTTCGAGACCTTGAACTGTTCACCTCGTCTCCCGACCTGAACCCTGAGTTGCACTGTGTCCCTCTTTGTGCCACCACAGCCACCGTCTGTGCAGAGTCACCGGCACATCATCGAGCACACACTGTGTGAGTGGCAGCACCTCCATTTACTGAGCCAGCGCCATGGCCTGGTGTGGACTGGACGGCCCACATGCATTACCTCAGTTCCACTCTCACACCCCCTATGAGAAAGGCATCGCCCCTATTTTACAGACAGGGAAACTGAGGCCAAGAGCATGAAGTAACCTGTCCAGATCACGCAACCAGGTGGTTGGTGGCAGAGCCCAGATCTGAGCCCTGTTCTGCTAACTCCTGGGAAGATGTCATCTGATGGCCATTACTGATACCTCCACGCAGACACCATGCTGCGCACGTTACAGACCAATTACTGTGCCCGTCTCTGTCACCGAGCCTCTGCAGTGGGGACAAATGGGAGTTCCTGATCCTATAGACCGAATGGGTTAATAACTGTAGAGGACACAGAAAAGTGCACAAGCCATAGTATGACTGTTTAAATGCCCTTTGACCCTTCCTTTGTGAAATACACTGATCGATACTTCATTTGCATCATAATCCTGAGGGAGAGGGGCCGGTCATATTCCCGCCTCGCCAGCAAAGGCACTGCGGTGGCAGGGTGCACCAGCTGAACACGGCGCACCAAAGGGGTCCAACGGCAGAACCCCCAACTGCCCACACCAACCAGCTGGTCTCTGAGAGCTGCCCAGCCTGGTGGCCTGGTGGGTGGCTAAAAAATGCCACTCCCTTTTGGATCCTCAGGACACCTGAATGCATGTGACTCTGGGACGTTCCTCCCACTGTCCCCAGGGCCAAGTTTTATGCACCCACCCAAGGGAAGGGACCACCGGTCTCCATGGAAACCACTCTGTTTCTTACCTTGACTGACTCAGGACTCGTGATGATGACTGAGGTTTTGTGGAAGACGTTCACCCGCACCACAGGCCCATACTTCTTAGCCCTGGAAAGCAAAGTGACCCAAAGTGGGCTGTCAACTCCCAGAGACTGAATGTCACCAGCCAGGTGCAACAGGAAGAACAGGGTACCCCATCCCAGGAGGGGGCTCGCTATGGGCTGGGGGCCCAGGCTCTGGCCTGGGGCTGACTCACTACTAGGTCACTTCCCCCACTGGGCCTCAGCTTCCACATCCATGAAATGGGGTTGCTACCTTCCTCCTTTGCCCCCAAGGTTGTACCGGGAATCAAGCAATAGCGTGTCTTTGAAAATGCTTTGAAGAGTGTAAATCACCACCCCAAACAATCACTCTTATCTAATCACAGCCCACAGCCGGGTTACAGATGAGGAAACTGAGGCTGGGGAAGCTTTTGGTGGCTGGTCGAAGGTCATGGAGTGGCAAAGGGCAGAGTTTGCCTTCCGAGCCAGCCTGGTCTGCCTCTCCACTCAGGGGAGGGCCTGCTGGGGGTGCGAGTGACCTGGGCAGGGGAGCAGGGAGTGTGTGTGCTAGAACTGGGTGGGGCGGGGAAGAGGATTGGGGTAAACGGGGGAGGTGGCCCAGGGGACCTAGACTGGAGTAAGGGCAACAAATGATGAGTCAGGACCCACCAATCCAAAAACACATCTTGGAGCACGCGGCCACAAACCTCATCCTTCTTCCAAAAGTAGGGAAGGTGTCCTAGAAGGAAACTGGAAGAAATGGGAAACGTTAAGATCACCACAAGTCACCGTTCAACAGTGCTCCCTTCCCCACAAGGCCCCGTGGGGCCGGCGTTATTCGACCATTTCACAGATGAGAGGGCTGAGGCCTGTGAAGCTAGAGCACCAGACTGAGGACTGAGGAGCTAGAGCACCGGCTCAGGGCCAGCAGACAGGCCACACGCCCAGGTCCGAATGGCCGCAGAGGCCTCCTTGACGAGGAGATGGAGGGAAACCAAACCTCCGCCCTGGTGCAGAGGCCAGGGGCTGGCCGTCGACGACACTGTGTGGAATTTCCTTCAGACAGTTGCTGAACACTTTCCCTGTGCGGTGCCAGGCTGAGCCCCACCCCCTCTGCCCTCCCCACCTGGAGGTAGGGCAGCTGAGGCTGTCCAGTTGTGTGCCTGGTACAGGATGCCCCATAGTCCTCATTACCAGAGGACAGATGGGGTCACACTAAGTCTGCAGTGAGATCACTAAATCATAAGCAAGCTTCTGGTGTCACCTTGAGACACGGTCCAAGGGACGCCCCGTCTCCTCTGTGACTCTACTCCAGTCAAGCCCACTTATTATAAAGCGTCCAGACAACGCAACTGCAGTGGGGCTTTTCCGAGTCAGTGAGCTCATTCTCCTGGGGGGAGATGGAGTCGATCTACAGACGAGTAAATCCGGGTCGGGGAATAAATGGGAGCAAAATCCAAGAGGGGAGTGGGGAAGGAAAGCTGGGAATGGATGTGCGGGTGGCCATTTATAAGGCAGGTCAGGGAATGTCCCTCTGTGAAGGTGTCACGTGAGCTGTAAGAAGTGAGGGACTTGGCCAAGCAGGTATCTGGGGGAAGAGCATTTGAGACAAAGAGAAAGGCAGGTGCAAAGGTCCTGAGGTGGGAGTGTGCTTGGTAAGCTCAAGGAAGGCAGTGTGGTGAGACCAGAGTGCTTAAGGGGACCATGCACAGGGTGTGGTCCCCAAGGTGGACAGGTACAGACAGCCTTGGGGGCTGCCGTCCGCACTTCGGCTTTGCCCTCAGGCAAGTGGGGGCTGCCGGTGGGTTTTGCGCAGAGCAGACAGAATACGACCTGGGTTTTAAATGCAATGTTCTTGCTGCTGCATAGCTGAGAGTAAAGGGGGCGAGGAGGGCGCAGGCAGTAGAAGCAAGGGTATAACTGTGACTTAATATTATTAGTCTAGTGATCGAAGTCATGCATTAACCCTTTGCTTCTAACCGACTGTATATCTTCCCTCTGGCCAAGTCCACCTTCCTTTCGAACCGCCTGTTCCTAGAATGAGGCACGCTGGTGCTGATGGTGAACCACGGACGTCCGGCAGACATACGGCACAAGGAAACAACAGAACGCCATGAGCCCAGGTGGGAAGTGTTTCAGCCTCTGCCCCTCAAGAGAAACTGCACGTCTGCACTCCCCCCCCCCAAGGAGTTGAGCCCCTCCTGAGCTCCCACCCATTCCCCATGGGAATGGCTGCCTTGACCAGAGATGGTTTTGGAGGTGTGAGCCTGCCATCCTCTTAAGCAGCTGGTACCGGACTCAACCACTTTCCTTCTCCCCTGTCTCACGAGCTTGGCTTCTGCGGCTGCAGGAGGCAGCAGAGCCTGCGGGGTCACTGTTCTGGACTCACCCCCGCCACGCCCATGAAGGGCCATGGAAGATGATGAGGGCTGGGGCCCATGGAAGAAAGAAGTTCTATTCCGAATGGATGTTGAAGGTGAAGCCAGCAGGGCTCGCCAACCGTTTACATGTGTTGAGAGACACAGGTGTCAAAGATGACCCTGGGCCACAGGGAGCAGGGATGGAGCTGACACTTACTAAGGTGAGCAGGACCGAGAAGGGGCTTGTTGGGGGGCAGCAGACCCGTCCTCCACCCCTGTCTGTGCCCATGCAGGTGGGCCGGCCCTGAGACAGCTGGCTCTGCCTGCAGGAGGGGCAGCTGGAGGCTCCAGCTCAACAACCCCCAGAGCAGCCCTGGGTGCAGCAGTCCTGCCCCGCCCCCGACCTTGGTAAGGCAGCTCTGTGGTCTGTGATTCCTCAGATTCCCCAGAGGGGTGCACTCAGTTTCACCCTGAGGCCCAAAGACAGGCAGCAAAGGGGCAATCTGCCCAAGAGACTGAGCAGGAGACGTGGGGAGAGCCAGAGAGGCTTCAAGAAGGTAGGAGGCACCTGTCTGCCCCAAGCTGCTGAGGGGCCAGGTGAGATGGGGGCCCAGTGCTGACCATGGGTAAGCACCATGGCAGTCACCGGGACCTTGACAAAGGAGACTGGGTCGAGGTAGGGGGCAGAGCCCGATGCCGTGGTGGGTTCGAGAGAGAACAGAAGGGAGGAACAGGAGCCCAAAGACAGGCAGGCTCCTTGGGGAGGTTTGCAGTGGGGGTGCGGAGACGGGGGCAGCCGTTGGAGGGAACGAGAATGGAAACAAAAGGGTTGGCTTTGACAGCATGTTATATAAAAATGGGGAGGATGCAGAAGAGAAGGAAAACTGATGACGCAGGAGAGGGGCCAATGCGGGGCAGTGCAGCTAAGCAGAGGGACAGCTGTCCTCGGCCAGGAGCCCCTGGTCCCAGTGGGAGGGCAGGACGAGTGGGCCCTGCGCAGGCAAGGGGGCGGCCGTTGCAGCAAAGCCCTGAAAGGAAGTCATCTCAGCTGATCCACATGCTCTGGGAAGTCAGAGGCAAGAAGAGAAGCTGAGAATGTGGGTGGAGGGGGTGGAGGGGGCGTGCCAGGGTTGAAGAGCCAGCAGGGAGGCTGGAGGGGAGCTGAGCAGATACACGGGAGAAAGGGCAGGGTGGCCGCTGAGGCCCGCCTGAGGTGAGGCCTTGAACTTGTACCACTCCACCTGCAGAAATATGAGCTGTGGACAGCACACACCACTGGCTGTATTTCCAGAATAATCTAGTTTCCATGGCCACTCACCAAAGCAGCTCATTCTTGGGGAAAATGTTCTGTTGTGAGGCACCTGAGTGAGAAGAGAGTCTGTAGCAGCCTCCCCCTCCCAGGCCAATCTGAGAGCCTCTGCCCAGGGTCCACCCCCCTCGAGGAGGAAGGTGAGTGACCCCAAGGACAAGGGTACCAGAGTGGGGAGGTCTCCTATGCCAGGCAAGAAAGGGAACGAAAGCCTGACCCCTCCAGCTCCTGCAGGGGGCAGTAGGGAGGTGAAGGCATGGCCAGGAGCCAGGGTTAGAAATAAGCAGGTAAGGGAGGAGGGGTGGTGGAACACTGGGACTAGGAGGGGACAGACAGAAGCCCACCTGGCATGCCCCTGGTGGTGGGCTGGAAGTGGCAGGACAGAAGGGAGGGCAAAAATACCCCTCCTGGCTGGTCCCCAGAACATGCAGTTCCTATAAATTTCAATGGGCACAGTGGGATCCAAAGTTTCCTGTGGGCAGAGAAAGCTGTGACCAGTCCCTGGAGCAGAGGTCACCTGGAGAGCCCAAAGGAATGAAGAAGCGGCCACCCAGTAGGGGTGAGGGTGAGGGGCTGCGGTTGTGCCAGAGAGAAGGGGTGGTGAGCGCTCAGCTGGGCACCCAAAGTCCAGCAGTGGGTCTCCACCATCACGAGGAACCGCCCGGCAACTTACTGAATGACAAGTTGGCAAGTAGGAGGGGGAGGAGGGAACCAGCACCACCCAGCAGTCAAACTTGAAAACTTATTGCAAAAGAAATAAACACTGGGGCAGAGAGACTTTTCGTTGTCAAGTTTACCCTCACCCCTCACTGCCAGGAGAGGAGGCTGATGAGAGTTTAGAGCAGCGGCAGAGCAATAAAGAAGCTACAAGTGTTTGTGTGGGATCCGAACATGGATCTGAGTTCTCAGCTGTTACACGGATCGGTGCAGTAGGACATTATTTGCAATGAGGACACAGAGGTGGGGAAGTGGGGCACTCAAAGAGGGCGACCTGGAGAAAGGGCATTCTGGAGACTCCTACAGAATTAGGAGGACAGAGGGTCAGGGTGCAGGAGCACAGCAGCTGCCTCTTCGAGGGACAGAGGGGTCCTTGCCTGCAAGCTGGCAAAGCCCTGAAGCACCAAGGAGCAAATGCCACTTCTGGAGGCTCAGTACATTGATTTCTTGTCAACCGTGGTATTTTAGCCAAGCACGGGCTGGGGATCCAGGCTTTGAATGCCAAAGCACCTGATTTGTGCTAGAAGGAGTTTTGGAACTTTCGGTTAGTGTGATTTTATATTTGGCCACCAACCCCTCTTTAATCCAAAATCTTTTTGCCTGGGCCCAATTCGGTTCCCCTCATTAGAACTAAGAGCCGGACCATAATTACATTCAGCCTCCTCCCACTCCTTGGGCCACCCACACACACCAGTAGGTTACATGAAAATTCTGTGGGATGAGATTTGGGGGAGAACTCAGGCCTGAAAAGGAGAGAAATGTGAACACATGCTACTCCATGGATGACCCTGGAAAACACGCTAAGCGCAAGAAGCCAGACACAAAAGGCCACATATTGTGTGGCTCCATTTATGTGAAATGTCCAGAACAGGCAAACGCACGTACGGAAAGCAGATGAGTGGTTGCCGAGGGCTGGGGGTTGGGGTGAGATGTGTGGCAGTTTGTGGGTGTGGGGCTTCTTTCAGCGGCGATGAAATACCGGTGGTGATGGTCTGGTTTGGAAGGGTGAGGTCTATGTTTAAAACGCAATTACAGCCCTGGCTGGTGTAGCTCAGTGGATTGAGCACGGGCCTGCGAAACAAAGGATCTCGGTTCGAGTCCCAGTCAGGGCACGTGCCTGGGCTGCAGGCCAGTTCCCGGCAGGGGACCTATGAGAGGCAAAGGGGCAGAAAGAGGCTTGACTTAAGTCCTGCCTTCTCAAGACACGGGTAGACCAGGCCTGCTCCCCAGGTCTGTCATGGTCTGTCATGCTTGAAGCACTTGGGTTTCGGGGAAGGCCGAGCTGTGATGAGACCCATCAGAACTAGTGATTTGGAAACCTGGAAGTGTGACAGTGCACCTAATAGCCACCTTGAATCACCTGCTCAGCAAGAGTCTCCTGCGCATGCACCAGGCACTGCTGTGCCAGATGTGGGAGGCATGGCAGTGGTCAAGACAGACACAGGCCTCTAGGAGAGACAAACACTTAACAAGAGGTTGTACGAATAATGAATTACCCAATTGACGTTAGGGTCACCTAGAGTTTACAAAATGAACATAATGTGGGAGCAGGTGGGGTCTCCCTGAGGAGTCGGTATTTAAGGCAGGCCTGGAAGGCTGGGGAAGCACCATCGAGGGGGGAAGACAGGGCCTCTATGAAAGGAAAAACCGGCCTGGGGAGACCCCAGGGTGGGCGAGGACGCCTGGGAGGACAGAGAGCCAGCAGGGGGAGACAGTTGCCTCCCTACGCCGCCAACCACAGAGATCTTTCCAGAACGCACCACACAGGCATTCAGGCTTCTAACACCAGGGCATCTGGCTTGTGCTGGAAGTGGGTGCCTTCTAGAACGTTCAGGTCCTGATGTCTTAAAAAGTGTATCTAATACCATTTTTTATTCTGGGTGCCTTCCAGAATGTTCAGATCCTGATGTCTTAAAAAGTGTATCTAATGCCATTTTTTATTCATTCATTCAAAAAATATTTATTGAGCATCTGCAATGTGCCAGGCGTTGGGGATACACAAGCGACACAGCAACCCTGCCCTTCTGGGGCTCACATTCTAAAGGGGAAGACAGACAACAGGTGCAGACAGTCAACAGGTGAACAGAAGGTAACTTCATGGGGGATGGCCCCATTGGGTGTTTGGGGCTAAGCAGGCTTTACACATGGTGGATGGGAAACTAGCAAAAAGGAAATCAGCTGGGGGTGGGGGTGGGGGTGGGGGGACGGCACAGATTGACTGGGGCAGCAGGGAGTAAGCAAGGGGAAAGAGAACCGTAGGGGCAGGTTCTGACAGTTCAGCTGTCAGGGGCCTTGGTGGCCACGGGGTGGACTTCATTTAGAATTAGATTTAGTTCTAAACTCATGAGAAGGCTTTGGAGCAGAGTGATAGCACATTTGATTTAAGCTTCAGAAAGGTAAATTTCTGGTAGGGGAGGTAAGTTGGGGGGATGGGGGCCAAGGATGGAACGGAAGTGCAAAGAAGAAGACAAACAAGATACACCAGGACAGAAATGCAAAAGGGAAGGTGACCAAAGTACAGCGCTACAGTCAAGTCGAGTGACCCTGTCCAAGTCCCCAAAGTTAGGGCGCTCACTTTAGAGCCAGGCTAACGTGGGTTTAAATCTAGGCTTACCGATGGTGTGACCTTGGGCAGGTGACTTTGCCTCTGCGCGCCTCAGTCTCCTCGTCTGAACGATGGGGTAACACTAGCGCCTACCTAACAGGGTTGTCGCTGCCATCACGTTTGTGGGGCCCAGCTGAACGCGGTGGGCGCCGAGCAGCTGCGGCGACTGAGTAATTTGTTACTAAGAATAGTTAGCGCCCCTCTCCCCGCCGCGGTCTCCAAGCCGCCGCGCTCAAAGGCGAAGCTGGACCCCCGACCTTGACTCTCGGTTTGGACGCAGCCCCCAGACCCCCCATTCGAGCACCCCATCCAGGCCCCCGCCCCCACCACCCCCCCGCTCACCTGGGCCTCGGCGGCCCGGGGATGTGCTCGTAGCGGCTGCGAGCGCGGTGCACGAAGGTGCAGCAGAGGCCGAAGGCGACCAAGACGGCGCTGCCAAGCAGCAGCAGCCCGGGACTCATGACTCCCGGGCAGGCCAGGCCAGGGTCAAGGCGGGGCACCAAGGGGGTGGGAGGCCGCGAGCGGACTCAGCTGTCAGCGCCGCGCGCCGCCTCTGCCCCAGGCCCCGCGCGACCCAGCACCGCCCCCGCCGCTCGGCTCCGCCCCCGCTCTCTTTGACCCCTCCCAGAGCGCTCCATCCCCGCCAACCACGTCTCCGCCTCCGGCTCCACTCTCCGGGTCCGCCCCCAACCCTAAAATGATCCGCCACGCCCTTCCTGAAGCTCCGCCCCAAATAAATAAGCCCCTCGGCCAGGCCCCGCCTAAAGCATGGAGTATCCACCATTCACAACTCCGCTTCTGGCTCAGACCTCTAAGGCCACACCTCCTCTTCGCCTCTCGGGGCTCCGCCCTCAGCCCTAAAGCGCTAATCCACAAGAAGCTCCGCCCAGAACGCGTTGTCCCTGGCAACCCTGGTTCCTCAGCACTTGCTACTCAGGCGGCGGCAGTAACTCCTGCTAGCTGGTTCCGCCTTCTTTGGCATCTCCAAATAGCGTTTCTCCTCGCGCGGTCCTAGGTCCCTTCCTTTTTCCATAAATCCCTCCTGGAAACCCATCTCAGCCTCCAAATTTCTGTATTACGCCGACTGTTCCCAGCCTTCTCCTTGGAATCTCCAACTCCCAAAGCTGGTTTCCCTTTCTTGACCTATCCACACCTAGTGCCCTCGGCCTCCCAGAGGGACTCAGGGGCAAGTGACCAGCACGCCGGGAGGTCTGTGTCTGCTAATGAAGAGCTCTCGTCTGGGCCTGAGCCTGCTTGCACGGAGCCTCGGGCGCTTCTGGATCCTCCCAGATCCAAGGAAGTCGTGTCTGAGGCATTGACGTGAGTCCAAAGAACCTGGAGTTGGAGTGGCTGAAAATCTGGGTATTGAAGGTCGTCATCAAGGGAAATGAGCGGCATGGCCAAAGGGTGTTTTTGAACCATAATGACCAAGACTTCCCTCCCTTTATAACCTGCTTCTCCGTACCGACCTGTCTGGAAGAAGGTACAGAAGAGGCCAGCTCTGAGTCTTTTAGTCCCCAGTTCTACACTCAGGGGCCCCCAGAGTGCAAGCAGAGAATGGGAAGGGCCCGGTGTGCCCACTCCTAGACCAGATAAAGATCCTCCGGACTGGTGAGGTGCGCCCAAATAGAAATACTGCTGCTGGGTTTCTGAGAGGGGACATGTCCCTGCCCACTCAAGAACCAGTCCAGGAGAGGTTTGGGGACGAAAAAACAGAGGCCTCTATGTACCCCCTTCCCAGGTACCGTCAAGGACAGTCCCGGTCAGGAACATGACTGTCATAGATTATGTGGGTAGCGGGGTGACAGAGAGCGCCAAGCACAGAGGAGACGGGATTTCTGCCCTGGGGACGGCAGCCAGGGTATTGGTCCTGGCGCGGGGACCTGCAATGGCCTCTCTTAGTTGGGCTAGGAGTCGGTGGCTTGGCGCTGCGACCCCTTGTGGCCGTGAGAAGCAGCTGCAGGAACGCGCAGGAGACCTCTGGTTGCCCCTGCTGCGGGGTGAGGCGTGGAGGTCACAGCCTCTCCAGAGCTGGGAAAGCTCCAGGGGTTAGAGGCAATTTGAAGGGAGGACCCCGAACAATTGTTCTTTGAGGTCGAGAAGGGCAGGTCCAGGTCCTGAACTGCTCTGGCCGTAGTCTGGGCCTCAAGAGAGCAGGCACTGAGCAGCCTCAGGATACAATTGTGAACCGGAACCTGTGCAGCTAAAGCTAATGAGAGGACTGGGCGATCCTTAATATTCTCTGGTGCACAGATCAACACCAGTGACCTCTGGCTCAATGTGACCATGGCTCAACCTGTGACTTCTGTCAACAGAACACTCCTGTACCCTCCCCCTGGCCTCTTCATCTGATCCAGCTCTCCTGTGATCAGGTGGGGAGTAAAGAGCCAGCACACCGAGGCTCCGGTGCCAGGCCTTTTCCTGGGCTGGCAACACTGCGAGCCACCAGCAGAGAGCGCTGCTGGGAAGCACGTGGCCAACCTCCTGGCTCTTCCCTGGGACAAAACTATGTGCTGTGATAGCCACTGACCTCATGTGACTGTCAAGCACTTGCAGCGTGGCTAGTGCAAACTGAGACGTGCTGTGTGTGTAAAATGCCCACCGGATCACATCGATTTAGTGCCAAAAGTGTATGTGACATTCATATTTTTATATTGATTACCTGAATAGGAGTTCAATATTATTAAAATTAATGCCCCCTGTTTGTTTTCACTTTGATAATGGAGCTACCAGAACGTTCGGAGTTGCCTGTGTGGTTCCTGTGACATTCCTGCTGGGCAGCACTAGCACAGAGAGCATTTCTCAAAGTGTGGCCCCTGGGCCAGCACATCAGCATCGCCTCGTGTTGTAGTGCAAATTCTCAGCCCCACCGAGATGTAACTGAGTCAAAAACTCTGATAGGAGCCGGCAGCTAGAGTTCTAACCAGCCCTGCAGGTGATTCTGCTTAAACTCGAGAATCACCGGTTTAGATGATGTCATGCAGGAAGTGGTTTCCCTGCAGGAACTGTGGAGGCAGATGCAGGCAAAGAAGTGGCTGAGCTGGCTGTCCTCACGCGAGTGGCCTGGCAGGGGACAGGTAGTCCAGGGAAGAGGAAGGATAAGACTCAGGGGAAGGGGGCTCTGTTCAAAGCTGCCTCACCCTCTGAAGGTGGGACCCAAGACCAGTTAAAGAGCCACCTTGGGGGGTCCACCCCCTCCCCTGGAAAAGATGGGTGGTGATGCCATGCCTTTGGGGGCCACAGTAAGGATTAAAGGAGTGAAAAATAGGTAAAACTTTTAGAACTGTGCCTAGCTCAGTAGTAAATGCTCAACAAATGCTAGCTATCCACCCTTATGAGCACTACTTAGGAGCAGCGAGTCTGCCATCAACTTCCTTCTCAGGAGTCGAGCCGCGCACCCAGCCTTGTGTGGAGCTGGGGGGGGCGGGGCACACCTTGCCCAGAGGACTGGTAGGCTGACGCCAGCACTGTCCGGAGGAGTGGAGAGACCCCCAGTCACCCTGCCAGCAGCAGTGATGCTCAGGGCCCCAGGTGAGGGCTAGACCACTCCTTTCCACCAGTTGGGAAAGGTGCCAAGGACCCTAGAGGGTGGCCCTGGGCTGCTGGAGCTGAGACTGCCCCACCTCCCAGGCCTCACCTTGTGGCATCACGGCCTCCAGGCCTTGACATGAAGAGGGGAGCTCAGCAGCGTGGGGAGGGACATGGAGGAGTCAGGAAGGGCAGGCGGAGGCTGCTGCTGCAGCCTGTCCACTAACTCCAGGCCAGGCCAGAGCGACCCACAGCTCTGGTCCCCTGCGTGGGTAGGCCATGCTGCTGCCCTGCTCTGAGAGCCTCGAGGGCCACCCACCTCCCCAGGGCTCTAGCCTCTGCTCCACCCTTTGTGGCCAGAGCCTCCCAGGAGTGTCCCCATCTGTACTGAGTTTGGGCTGGATGGACAGCGGGGTCCTCCCAGCTTCCTAATGCTGCTCAGAACTTCCCTGTGTCCTGGGAAGGTGCCTGGGCAACCACCCCTGGGCTGTGGGAGGACACCCAGCTACCTCCTGGGCAGGAGGCACCTCCAGGGGTCTCCATAGACCCCTGCTCCCCAGCCAGACCCGCAGCCCCCAGCAGGCACCCCACTGGGCCAAGCCACACACTTCTTGGGCACAGCAGTGCTTTCTCGGAGTATGGTGGTTAGGGGCCGGCATGCCCTGAGGCTGGGCTGCTTGTGGTCAAGTTCATTTTCTCCCTTCCCTGACTGGGTGCCCTCAGTGAAGATGTTTAACCTCTGTGCACTTAGTTTCCCACCTGTAAGAAGGGAAGAGGAGGCTGTTTTGAGGACTCGATGAGTTCATGCACACTGTGTGGCCTTACAGCAGTGACCAGCACTGAGGCCATGCACCGTGGCAGGGCTGATCGAGGTTTCCATAGGGGACTCAACAGGGCTGGACAAGCTGCAAGGGTGCGGGCCCAGAAAAAGGTCGGAGAGGGTGACTGGCAGCTCCTTCCTGCAGCCTGGTCTCCGCCCTCAGCTCCAGCAAGCGGAGCTGCACAGAGTGGCCGTCACACGCCCCCGGTGCCTGCTCCAAGGAGAGTCGTGCAGGCCCGGCTGCCCACCCTGAGCCTCTGCAGCCCCCAACACGAGCCCTCTCCTGTCATCACTGCCCAGTGACCACCTGCTCACTGTCCCTGCCCCCACCCCATCCCATCAGAGGCTGAGCCCAGCTGTACTGGATGATCCCCACCAGGTCCTCAGTGGGCAAAGAAACTTCTGCCTGTGAGCAGAAGAAGTCTGCAGGCCCTGCTCCTACCCCCAAACCCCGGGCTCCCGGGCAGGTGTCAGAGAAGAGGCAGGAAGGGCTTGTAAGCAGAAGCATTGTTGGCACAGCCCCGGGGGACAAAGCATCAGTAGTCTCACCGGGCCCACAGCCTGGGGGGCCCTGGGGGGTGGGGCTGGAGGAACGGGAGGGTTCCCTGGGACTTTACTGAGCGGGGTTGGGCTTGGAGGTGGCACAGGTGGCCCCAGAGGCCCTGATACAGCCTTGACAGTGGAGGAGCCTGAAGTCCCCTCTCACCAGGGGACCCTGGTACTGGGAGTGGCTGATGACTTCTGTCCTGAGGAGCAGAGTGGAGTCAGGCCTTAGGGTTGGGTGTCCCTGTACCTTCCCCTGCATCCAGAGCACCCACATGGATCCAATGTCCAAGATGACCAGGGGGCTTCGCCCAGGGGTCACCAGGACTGCTCTCCCTCCCCCCAGCCAGCTCTTCCCAGGCGCTTGCGTGGGCCCAGGCAGCCTGACCCTCAGCCGTGGCCCATGGGTCACCCTGGACCCATCGGTCTGATGGCCTCTGTGTCCCACTGGAGGCCTTGCTGTTCTCTTCAGCGCCTCTGGCCGCTGGGCCACCCATCTCTGTTCTTGGGCCACGTTCCTCGGGTGGTCTAGGGCCTTGCACTCCTGCGGTGGGCAGGGCAGGCCTGGTCCCTCTCCCTCAGTCCACCAGCTGTGCCTCTGTTAACACAGCCAGGGGCCATGTCGTCCTTGAAGGGTGGCTGCCCGCAGCACTCAGGGTCCCAAAGCCAGGACTGTGTCCCTGCTGCCACTCAGAGGTAAGAAAAGGCTGCCTTCTGCCCAGGGCCCCAACACCCGCGCAGCTTCCTGCCTGGCGGACACACGAGCAGGGGGACACACAGAGAACACCGTCCACAGGTCTGACGTGCCGCCTTCTGCTCCGAACTCCCGGCCACCTCCACCCTGGGACGCATGCGCACGCACCAGGGTGCACAGGGCGATGGCCAGGCCTGACAGACCAACTAGCTCACTGGCAGGTCAGGGTCCTCGTGGCTGCATATAACGCCGGCGTCCTCCTGGTGGTCGCAGTTGTGCCTGCCCAGGCCGGCGTGCCCGCACTCCAGCAGGGTCTTCTCATCACCCGCGCAGCGCACGTCGTCCAAAAGAATGGGGAGGGCGCGGCCCTCGCCGAACTCAGCGCGCTTGGTGGCCCGCACCACATGCGGAAAGCCCAGCTGGCGGCACACCACCGCGGCGGCCTTGATGTCCCAGCGGTCGTCGCACACAGTGCCCCAACGTCCACCGGCGAACACCTCCACGCGGCCGCGACCCGGGCTCAGGCCCGCGGGGCGCACCAGGCGCACCGCGCCATTTGGGGGCGAGGGGCTCTCCTTGCCCTGCCGGCCCCGCTGCCGCCCACTAGCCCTCCGGCCCCCAGGTTGCTGTGTCGGCTGTGCTGGGCGCCGGGTGGGCCGTGCTGGGCGCCGGGTGGGCGCTGGTGCAGGGGCTGTGGGGCGGGGGCGGGGGCGGCGGCGGCGCGGTGCCCTGGTGGTTGCAGGCACTGTGGGCTGCGTTGTGCTCTCTGCTCTCCGGATGAACTCTGCACAGAGGAAGAGCCTGCCTCAGAGCGACCCCAGCTCTCCACCCCAGAATGCAGACCCCAGGGAAAGATGTCCTGATTCCACCCTCCACTCTGACACCGAGGCTGCCGTGCCTCTGGGGTCCCCTCGGCGCCTGCAGCTGGGTGCAAGGTGCTTCTTCAGTCATTCCACAAACACTCATTGGCAGTTGCTTTGTCTGCTGCTGGGTCCCTCCACCCCGAATCTCAGCCCTGACCTCCTGGGAGTCCTAGTCTTGGGAAGGTGGGAACCGGGAACAGACCTCCCACACTATAAACTCAGGAGCTCAGTGGAAGGGAAGGTGTCTGGCAGAGCTTCTCAGAGCAAGTGACCCTTTCTGGTTGCAATCTTTGATTTAAGGGCAGGGATGCTGAAGCGTATGATGGAGGGAACTGCTGAGGGGCCCCTGGCAACCGGCAGGACAAGAGCCAGGCTGCCCAGGGCCCCCCTTGCCCCCAGGCTGCTGGCTTCTCCTGCTTTGCCTCTTGCTGCTCCCTCCTCCTTCCAGGCCCAGCCCTCAGCCTCTGCTCCAAGAGCACCGCCATCCCACACTGCACTGGGCCCCCGTGGCACCCGGCACACTGTCCCGCCACTGGGCCTGGGACACTAAGCGACTTCTCTGTTGTCCCAGGCAGGACAGGGCCTGGTCTGAGTTCTCCTTGTGGCTACAGCATCCTGCACAGAGCACGTCACTTGCAAAAGTGCCAGAAACTCCTGGATGAGTGGGTGGAACACTGGTCAAGGCTGGAAGCCAACTGAGGCTGGACTTAACTTCCCCAAACCTCAGCTCTTCCGGCCCCCCAACTTCCTCTACCCAGGGTACCCCTTCCTCAGGGCCAGGCACCCCCACTTACCCAGGTGCCCAGCTTGTACCTCTTCCTGCAACCCCCACACCCAGTTTGCCAACCAAGTACACTTGACCTCCTGGGTACACTTGACCTGCTGAAGTATTTCCTTTGGCCCATGAGATGGTTTTTAAAAGCCAACATTTTCAAATGGAAAGATTCGTAAGTAGCAACTCCAGAAGGCGGACACCACATCCGTCTTGCTCAGTTTTATCGCCCCGGAATGAAGCACGCTGGGTGCTAACCGAATGAATTAAATAATCAATGGGTGCATTTCTGGCTTCTCTTAAGCCCGGAAAGCCTGCCAGCGCCTGGCCTCTGCTCCCACCTAGCCTTGGCCCCTCAAACAGCCCCCTCCCCCGGACAAACCCTTTGCAGTTGGCTCCCAATCCAGGGGCAGTCATTGGTGGCCTTGCCCGGCCCCCCAGGTCATAAGATTGGCACCCCCACCCTCCCCACCACCCTTGGCCAAGCAAAACCATGTATGGCAGGCCCGGACCCAACGCCCCTCCCCCAGGGGCCCTGGCATCTAGAATAACTCTCCCTGGTGTTCCTTGCTCACACACCCTCCTTCCTGTCCCTCTCACGAAGTCTGAGTGTGGGTTCCTGGCCACAGCTATTTCTCCTTTTGCCATGTTCCCTTTGAGACCCGCACCCCCCGGGGGGCCCCCCACAACAGCCTGGGACTGGCACGCACCACCCTCTGTCACTGAGTGTCTAACGTGTGCCCAGCACAGGGCTAGGCACAGGCTGAGGACGGGCGTCCAGGCCCAGCCGGCAGGGCCTGCGCTGGCCGTGGGCGATGGGAGCTTCCCTCCCCCACCATGTCCCCTGGGGGGGGGCACTTACTTTCTTTGGGCACAAAGTGGATGAGGCGGCTCCTCACCTTCACCTGGACTGGCTGGATCTGACACTTGCCCGGGGGTGCCCGTCTGCCAACACACAGGAGGTCATGAGTGCCCCTGGGGGCCCGCCCTCCCCCTGCGGCCAGGTAGAACGGGGACGGGCCAGTGCGCATTCAAGCCCGGGCAGGTGTGTGCACACTAACAACGGTGGCCGTTCGTGAAGCACCTACTGTGTGGCCGGTAGCATGCCCGCACGCCCCATGCTCTGGTGCCCATCAGAGCCCCCCCCAGCACAGGAACCCCTCTGCACGGCCCCTGCGGGAGGGTGGGGGGCTCGCCCGAGATGTTTCTCAGAGCACGGCCTGTCCTGGGAACACGGTCCGGTGGCAAACCCCTCCTCCCACAGCCTGCCCTCCGACTCCTGTAACTGCCACCTCCCCGGCCCCACAGCCCCAGAGGAGGGTATTTCTCGGCCCCTCTGGTTCCTGGACTTCTGGTGATGCGGAAACCGGGGTTCTGTTTCCTGGAGGAAGTAGGGAAAGATCCCATCAGTTTAGAGGGGAAAAGGGGGGTGTGTCTTGGGGTTGGCAGCAGATCTGGGGGCCTTGGAGGAGTTTGGGGCGGGCAGAGAAAAGAGTCCAAGGGGGATGCCAGGGCTGTGAACTGGGCTCCGCTGGCGTCTCTCAGGGGCACCGGTGCAGAAAGGAATGCCATTTTAATTAGTTTTTGGCTGTCCCTCTGTCTTTGAACGGGACCCACTGGGTCCTGGGGCTGACCACGTGGGTGCGAGAGCTCAGTAGGTCCAGGCAGCACAAGGGGAAAGCCCAAGGGGCAGAGCAGCCACGTGACACGAGGCGGCTTCTGGGGGGCCTGGCAAAAGGGGGAAACTGAGGAAGGACACGGGCCTTGGTCCCCAAGAGGCTGAAGAAATGCAAGCAGCCACACACACTAGTCAAATCTGGGGACAGGGTGGGCTTTCCGGTGGCTCCGCATCCACGTAATATCCACCCTCCACACAGACCCGGCGGGGCTTTGTTCCTTAAGGAAATTATGTAAAAGATTTGGGTTACGCAAAAAGTAGGAGAAAGACCAAAAAGACCACAGCCGTCATGTTATGTGTGGGCGGTACTGGACGACCCCCCTGCCCCCACTTCCTGGGGCTTCGTTCTCCAAATGTTCTGTAATGCGGCCCCCATGCACTACATTGCAGGGCAAAGAAACACGTTTACCCCAAAAGAGAAAAATGAAAGGGATAAGGAAGGCCAGGGAGGGAGGGAGGGAGGGAAGGGGAGAGGGAGAGGGAGGGAGGGAGGGAGGGGGGGAGGGAGGGAAGGAGGGAGGGAGGGATGGAGGGAGGGAAGGGGGGAGGGAGGGGGGAGGGCGGGGTCTGGCCTGTTTCTGGCCCCTCCAACCCACGAGACCTTGAGCAGAACTGCCGGCCGCCACCCCAGTGTAATAAGCCGGCACCCCACTGCACAAACCAAGGCAACAATGGGTCCAGGTGGCGTCTGGCATGAATTAGGTGCCCGCGAAATGTGACTTTTCCTTAGAGAAGCACCCTTTCAAAAAAAATCTGGAAATGTCCAAGGATTGGGTAAGATAATTAGGGCACAGTGACTCAACAGAGAATCACGCAGCCATTAAAAACGATCCTTTGGAGGGTGACGTAGCAACGTGGAAATGTTTATACCAAATAGGGAAAACGAGACGAAGAAAAATGCCAAGTTTGCATGTGCCCTTCCGCATGATGTAACCCAGGAGCTGCCCAGGGAGAGATGGGAGAGACAGCAGGGAAGCAGAGGGGGTTTGGGAAGGGCTTCTGCCTCTCCGGACAGTGCTGTCGGTAACGAACAGGTCCGTCCTTTCAGTAACAGGGAGGCCCGAGAAGCTGCCCCTGACCAGGGGGGGCGAGGAGGCGTGGCGACTGAACGTGATGCGGGATTCCAGGCGGGCTTCAGGAGCAGGAGAAAGGACATGAGGGGAGCACCGAGATGCCTCGGTTTTAAACAGAAGTATGGAGTTTAAGGCATAGTAACGGACCGATATTGCTCATTAAGTGGGACAAAGGTACCGTGATAACGTACGACGTTTAAACAGGAGAGGGTGTGGGGCACGGGGGAAAACCTCTGTATTACCTCGGCAACTTGTAAAGCTAAAACTACTCTAAAATTTTTTAAAAGTTCTGTTCCAATGTGACGGCGGGGCCTGGGCTTCCCGGCCCGTCAATGTCCCCAACTCCCTGTTACCACAGACAGAGGTGGGCCTGGGGCTGCCAGGCTGGTTTCGAATCCTGGGTCTGCCCCTCACCAGCAGAATGGGCTTGTCTAGTCACTTCCCCTCCGCGGGCCTCAGTTTCCCCACCTGAACAATGGGGATGGAGTGCTGCCCAGCTTGGGGGGCGGTAGAGAGGGGAAAGGTGGTGAGGGCTCCTGGCGGACGGTAGCAGCCCGGTCACCGCTGCTGGGGGACTCACCTGGAGGGGTCGATTACTTTGTAGACAACCCCACGTGCCGCCGTGGCGCTCGGCACGGCCGTGGACAAGAAGTACAGCTCCCCTTGGGCAAGAAACAAGGGAGGGGTGAGAAGGCCACCTGGACCTCGTCCCAGCCAGCCCACGCCCCTCCGCAGGCTCTGAGATGAACCCCCCACCCCCATGCCCACTTCTGGAGGGAGCCGTGAGGGCGGGGCTCTGAGGGAAGCCTGCCTGTGCCCAGAACCAGAGACTGAGCCTGGGAAGGGCACCTGGACGTGCCCCAGAGTCTGCAGCCCAGTGTCCTGGACCGTGGCCATCCTGGACCGTGGCCACCCTGCCCGGACCGCCCAGGACTGACCTCTGCTCTGGCCTCCCTCCCAGTGCGCCAGCCCCTGGCAACCTGCCTGGGTTTCATACCCAGCGCTGCCACGTCTGGGCACAGGGAGGGTCTCTGCCTCCTGGGCGATGCAGGCACAGGGCTCTCTGAGCCTCCGCTTGCTCCCCCCACAACAAAATGCTTCAGAGGACCGCTCTTTGGACTGAAAGAGCTCAGTCAGCATCGGCTACTCCTGCTGCTGACACTGCCCTGCGGGATCCGGGGCCTGCCAGCTCCCGGAGGCCCGAGTCCGTCCCCACCAACCAGCAGGCGGAACACTAGCTCAGGAGTCTCCCACATGAATGCTGGTCCCTGCTCCTGGACCACCCCCTCCAAGCCTCAGTCTCCCCACCTCTTGGGAGCGGAGTCCTGAGCACCCGGAACCATGTGTGAGCTCCGAGAACATCAGTTCTCTGCTCTCTCCTCACCCCAATCTGCCCCCGGCCCCTGTTGCCAGAGGAACCTGTGCCTAAAACATAGGGTCCATTATTCCCATCTTACAGCTGAGAAAACAGAGGCTCAGAGAGGCCAAGAGATTTGGCCAGAATCACTCAGTGGCAGAGTGGTTAAGCCAGGCCCAGATCTCAGGAATGTCTCGGTCCCCAAGCTCATGCTTATATCGGACACATGGTGGCTGGGAGGCCCAGACACAGGCCACATGTGACCTAGTGTGTCAGGTCAGCCGTGCCAGTACCTTCTTCTGTCCTCGTAGGACAGTGGAGAGCTCTCTCAAGGATGGGGCGGGGGTGACTGCCCCAAGGAGAGGTCGAGACCGAAAGTGATGGGGCCGCGTGGAAGAAGGCACATCCCCGGCAACAGGTGCAGTCTGGGAGGGCTGCCTGGGGGCGGGGTCTGAGACTCAAGGCCCAAGAAACCCAGGGAATTCCATGAAGGGGAGGACACTTGAGAGGCAACTTGTGTAACTGGGGCAGATCCAACCATGGCAGGGGGCTGGGGACTAGGGGCAGGGGCACCAACGCTGCTGGGGGTCGGGTGGGGGGCAATAAGGACCTGTGGTGACAATGCCCCGTGGGAGGGAGCGGGGTGACCTGGACAGCTCATGGGCACAGCCACAGATTTGCAGTGTAGCCTTGGGCCCATCCCCTCCCTCTCTTGGTCTCTTTCTGGAGCGAGGCCCTTGGGAGCCGCCGTCTTCTCCCCAGCTGGGTGGCCCTGCCACCTACTCTCCAGCCCCCGGGAACGGCTCTACTCCCCTAGCCCAGAACGCCTTTCTGCACCGTCTTCCTCTGGCTGCTGACTGGGCTCAAGCTTAAGGGCCTGCCCGAGAGGCCTCCGGGGGCCAGGCTGGGAGCTGTACGCCCGCTCCGTGACCCGGCAGGAACAGCCAACCTCAGCTTCCCCATCTGTACAGAGACAGGGTGGGACCAGCAGGTCCTCATGCCCCCTCCAGCCTTGAGCTGCTGGGAGCCACAGCCCCCGCCCCATGCGCAGGCAGGGAGGGAGCCCCCTGGGCACTGAGAGGCCCTGCCTGGAGCCACTCTGATGTGGACAGCCCCTGGGGGCCACCAGGCCGGCAGAGGTCCTTGGTTTTCAATTTGCAAGTATCAGAGGAACCGCGAGTGGCACGGAGGCTGGAGCCTGAAGCTGGGAGAGGTCTGTCTGCCTTGGACCCTGGACCTGTGCCTTCCACGGCTGCCGGGCCAAGCGTGCCAGCAGGCTGTGCCTGGGCTGTCTGTCACATCACTAGTCACTCATCACTCGGTGTCGGGGCTGAGGGAGGGCCCCTGGGAAATGCACCTTCCAGGCCCTGCCTCTCTGTGGGAGGGTTACAGTGGGGAGGGTGGAGAGAGAGTGCCCCTCCTTCCAAAACACATTAACCCCCTACTGACCAAAAGAAAGGATTTTCAAAAGCCCAGTAGGCTTGGGCAGGGTGGTGGGGGCTGGGGCTGCCCTTTGGAAAATTTAGATTCTGATGGGTGTCGGTTCAACAAAGGTTTCCCAGACTCAGGCCTGGGGGCTCTGGGCACTGGGCTCTGCAGGGGACACCCCTCAAAAGGCCCCCGGGTGGGCGTTGCCCAGCAACTGGGCCAAGCATCCACTAGGCCCCACTGGGGGCCCCTAGGCTTTTGTCTAGGGACAAACCAGGGCCAAGGACAAAGGCAGGAGGCTGGAGCGGGATCCAGCCTCTGTGGCCCCTCTTCCTTTCCCCTCCCCCACTGATTCTTGCATCGAAACACAAGGGTTTGCACGCAGGACCCACTAACAGGCAAGAAGGTGGGGTCTACCCACTCTCCGAAGACAACGTGGCTTCATTTCATAGGCCCCAGTGCATTTGACATTAGGCACCCAAGGGGGTGAACATCTTGGGAGGCAGTCGTCCCCCACCTGCCTGCACTTCCACTGTTACAGAGACTTTCCCGGTCCCCTGACTGCCCTCACAGCAACCTTACTCAGGGTGGGGGGGGGGAACTGAAGCGCAGACTGGTGAGGATGATGCTCGAGCAAGGTCTCAAGCCCACTGAACACACCACTCTTCATCCTGAAGGTGGTTTCCAGCCTGAGACCCCTTCCCTGGAACCCCAGGCCGGAGGAAGCCACAGGGTGGGGACCAGTCAGGCGTGGGCAGCCCGGGACTGCTCACCAGCCTCGTCCTCTGCAAAGGAGATGATGTGTGGATGGTAGTTGTTGATGAGGCCTGGGAACTCGCAGGTCTGGCCACGGCCCATGCAGAGCTCGCTGTACTGCCACTGGCCTGTCTCCGGGCCTTCTCGGAGGGACATCAGACGCCTGCAAAGGAAGAGGAGCTGTGGGGTCATGCCTGGCATGGTGCCCAGGGGCCTGTCACCCACCAGTGCACCCATCCATCCACTCATCTATTGTCCAGGAAACTAGGACCATATATAATTGCAGGGTCCAGTGCAAAATGAGCATACAGGGCCCCTCGTTCAAAAGGTAAGAACTGCAAGACAGTGACGGCAGAGCATTAACCCTAGTGTGGGTTCTTCTGAGCATAGGGCCCTGGACATCCATGAAGCTGGCCTTGCGTGACGTCTTTATGAGCACCTACTGTGTACCAGAGAAGCAGGCAGGGGAAGGCACAGAGAAGACCCGCTTGGGTCCGGCCCCCTCTGCTCGGCCCCACCCACTGACCAGCAGGAGGCAGTCAGGGGCTGACTTGGACGTCAGGACCAGCGAGGCTGGTGCCCAGGACTGTGAGCCCACTTTGGAGCTGCCTCCACATCGGAGTGCAAGATGGAGCCTGGGCACCTGCACAGTACGGAGATCCGGCCCCTCGCTCCCTCCCCCACCTGTCAATCACCCAGCCTGCCCGCCTGCCTTACCCTCTGCTGGGAAGCCCTCCTGACTGCCCTGCATCGGGCTTCTCTGGCGCCGTGCACAGGCCTCTGCGGCTGGACTAGAGTGGACCGAGTGTCTGTCTGTCTGTCTGTCTGTCTCCCTGACTCGGGTATCAGGTGCTCTTCAGCTCTGTTGCTCTGGCCCTGGCCCTGAACCTGACCCGGCAGATGGGCTTGGGAAAGGTTGGCAGAATAAGTTGAATCTCTGGTCAGGGGACTTGGGAGTCAGTCGAATTGGGGTAAAACCAGAGGTTTCATCTAGACCCACTTTCCAGATGGGACAGCTGAGTCCCAGAGGCAGGCCCCACAGTGGGGCTGGGGCTGAGGAAAGGACCCAGCATCCAGAGGCCCAGCTCCGGGCTTCTCTCAGCTCCAGCTGCCGACGAGCTGGCCACACAGCCACCCACCCAGGGTGGCAGCCTGTGTCAGGTGAGACTCCTCTGCTCCCCTGCCCCCACCCAGGGCTCCCTTAGGTCCTTATTTCCCCTTCAGAGGAACACTGCAGAGTGGGCATCACCAACAGCGACCGGGTACTGAAAGTACTAAATTCGAAGCACCCTGTGTGTTAACCAATTCCCTCTTCAAACCACCCTGGGAGGCAGCTACATTACCGTCTCCATTCTGCAGATGAGGAAACTGCAGCACGGAGAAGTCAAGTGACTGGCTCAGGGTCACTCGGCTAAAAAGGGGACCAGGATTCGGACCCAGGCTACTTCAGCTACACATCTGCACACCATGCCAGGCACATGGCTTCCCTTGGGCCTCAGTTTTCCCTTCTGTACAATGGGAGAACTAGGTGGCCATGCGGCCCCATAAACTCCCCTGGGGAAGGAGTCTGACCCACGACAGGTTTAGGGGTATGCCCTGCCCGCCGTGGGGGCACACTGCCATGGAATGTGGGAACCCCACGGCAGGCCTGGGCTAGAGCCCCTGCTCCCCTCTCCCCAGCAGGGTGGCCTCCCCGGCCTCTCCGGACCAATGCTCCCTGGGGCCCTGGTCAGCTGGTGCAGTGACAGGTCCTGGCCCCCCAGGGTGACCATGAGTGCTCTAGGAAGTTGTTAGTGTCCCTCCCACCTCACCCCTTCGCCCCCCCTGCCTCCAGAACTGAGGTCAGGCCACTTACCCGCTCATGAAATCGCCGAAAATGTAGAGGCCGTTCAGGTTGGGGTACTCGCAGCCCCGGTACACGTAGCCCCCAGTGACCGACTTGCCCATCTTGTGGGGGTAGGCGAATATGGGCAGCACGTCATCTGCAGGGCGGGGAGAAGCTGGGGTGAGTCCCTGGGGCCAGCCCCTCCCCCACAGGAAAGCTTCGTGGGCGGTTCTGAGTCTTGCTGGACAAGGGGATGTGAGGGCACTCGGAGGGTGCAGACGGGGACCCCGCTGGTCAGCAAGGGAGGGAGGGGCTTACAGGGGGCAAGGTGTGGAGGAAAGCATGGGTTTGGTGGGTGGAGGTGGGGCGAGGCGAAAAGAGCAAGGAACATCCCAGGAGAATTGGGGAAGGGACCCAGTAGAGGGTGGGTCCCAGAGGGAGGCACACATCCTGTGGGTGGAGGGCGGATCTGGGATGGGGGTCCCCAGGGGCTGTCTTGTTGAGCGTCGTGCAGACACCAATGGTGGCAGTGGTGCGGAGCCACAGGATGGGTAGTGGGGGGGGCGGCGCAGAGGGCTGGGGGGCGGTCACCGAAGGAGGCGTTGGCACACAGCTTGAGGTCGTAGCACTCGAAGCCCTCGCGTGCGCGCCAGCCGTAGTTGCGGCCGCGCTCCACCAGGTCCACCTCCTCGAACTTGTTCTGGCCCACGTCGCCGCAGAAGAGGCGCCCGCGGCCCGCGCCGGACACCGGGTCGCCGCGGTCGAAGGAGCAGCGCCACATGTTGCGCACCCCCAGCGCGTAGACCTCGGGCCGCGCAGCGGGGTCGCCCACAAACGGGTTGTCAGGTGGGATGCGGTAGAGAAGGCCATGCTCACCGCGGTCCACGTCGATGCGCAGCACCTTGCCCAGCAGCGCCGACCTGCGGGCGGGTGGGAGAGGGCACCGGCTGGGGTTCGCCCTGCGCCAGGGCCATCCGCCCCGCCAGAGGCAAGGCCTTGGCCGTGGGCTCAGAGACTCCACTGGGTTCAGTCCTCCTCCGCTACTTACGGCTGAGTTACCTCTTTTATTCATTCAGCGTTCCCAAGCCCCTCACCATGCGGCAACCCTGTCCCGAGCCCTGAGCATCCATACCATCTATACAGTTGCCTCACGCCACAACGAACCTTTCAGATAGGTGGATTCTACTGTGACCCCCACTTTACAGACAGGGCAGCTGAGCTCAGAAAGGTCACATGAGTGCCCAGACACCGCACCACTGGAAATGCTGGGGCTAGGGCCCAATTCCCCAGGCTGGCCGCAGAAACCCACGGTCTTCACCACAACACGGTCCCACCCCCAGACCTCATTCTCCAGGGACCTGAGGGTGGTCCCTCTTCCCCGCCCTCTTAAGGGTTGTGCTGCAGGGTAAACATAAATGAATGTCTCATGCAGTCTTCTCCCAGCACTCAGCACAGTGCTTGGTACATGGTGGGTGCTCATTAAGTGTTTGTTGAGTGAACGAAAGAATGACTACAAGCAAAGTCAAGGGCACCATACAGAGAGTACTGGTTGGGGCTCAGAGAAGGGAGAGAGAACGCTGCAGATCTTAGCAGGAAACAGGAGGCCCAATTCTTGCTTTCTCTCCCACATTCTCCCTGGCCCAGGCCATCGCAGGCAGAACCAGGGCATGGCAGAGAGTGGACAGGCCTCGGTGGTAGTTCACCCCACACTCCACACCCTACCCTGACGTCAAAGATGAGGCAACCCAGGTTCGGAGAGGGAGACCCCCCAGGCAGCTCTGGACCAGGAGCCAGGCCATGCCATGGAGCCAGGACACATGGGACAGGGAGGGGTGCAGCCCTGACCTCCACGCAGCTCCTGGGGCGAGCAGCTTGTCGGTTTCATTCGTCACATGACCCAAGTGACACCTGATGGGGAAAGTCTGCCTTGTGCTTGAAGACGGGAAGCACATGGGGGACCGCTCTCATCCGTGATTTCTGATGCACCTACGTAGCCATCACGTGGGTTTTTCCCTGGCTGTTGGCATCTTGGTGGACTCCCTCCCTCCACGCTGCTTTTCAAGGCAGGTCTGCTGTGCTTTTGCACACTCAATGCAGCCATGCACATCATCCTCACACAGCATCAGCAGCCAAGGGCTTCCCTCCTTAGAGACGTCTCTCTGTGTCCTCGTGAGGGAGGTGAAGCTCTACCACCCAGTAGAGTCCCCTCAGTTAACTCCCCACTAGCCCGTGGGTCTCTCTCGTGCACTCCAGCTGCTCGGCGCCCAGCTGCAGACCACAGCCCAGAGCCACACACCACACGCACCAGGCTTCCATAGATATGTAGGCAAAACGCACAGCAGCAAAGTAATGTTTTAAGTTCCGTCCAATTAGCCACAAATCCTTAATTTCTGTTTTCTGAACTTCGTCTCTAAACACACCCCCAACACGAGAAAGCTGTGACGACTCTCACACTGTCACAGACGACAGCACGGGCCACAAACTGCGAACACTTTAATTACTGTAATCTACATCAGCCCCGCTAGCTCTGCTTTCTGGGCTGAGAAAAGGTTTGTCATTTTTGGCGAAGAGCGTGGAGGAGGCCGTGGAGGACAGCCTTGTCTAGACCCGCGAGACACCAAGTGTGCTTGTCTCCTTGTCTGTCCGTCCAGGAGTGGACTGACGGCAGGCCATCTGCTCAAGGCAAGAAATGACTAAGTGAGGGTAAAACTGTGCTTCAGTTTCTGGGCCATCAAGGGTGCCCACTGAGGTGCCCATGCAGCTCTGCTCCAACCAGCTCACGCTCCCCATTTGGTCTGACACAGCGCCCCTTTCCTTCCTCTGGTTCCAGCAGGACTGGGCTGGCTTCAGAACAAAACCCTCCCCTCCCCGGTGCCCTCTGATGTCACCTCTCAGGGACCTGTGACAAGTGGGCACTGTCCCTGGCCCTCCACAACCATGACTGCTTTTCCCTCGCATGACAAGCGTCCCCACGAAGATCATTTTTCTCCTCCTCTAACTGATGAGAGGCAGTGGCCTGACCAGCTGCAGGCTGGGCTGGGCCCCCAGCCCTTTAGGCTACATACACTGCACTGTGTGGCTGAGGAGGTCACTCCCCTCCAGGAGAGTATGGAACCAGGGGTATGTAAAGCAGCCCACCAGCCGGCCGAAAGCAGGACATACTTGTTTTGGGCATTTCCAAACTTTCCAAAGGGGTCTCCGGCCATCCCGCCGTCTCCGGTGAAGATGTAGAGGTACCCATCGTCGCCAAAGAGCAGCTGGCCCCCGTTGTGGTTGGAGGCTGGTTCACTGATCTCCAGGATTATCCTAAAAGAAGATGAGACATGCCCAGCACCCCCCCCCAAAAAAAAAACCTCAGCCAAAATACAAAACAAGATCACAGCCATAAATCCTCTTCCCTCTTAGATACCATTTCACAGTCGGAAAGATTTTTCATGTCCTTTATGGCAGGTGATTTTTATAAAGATCTGGTAGGCTGAGTGTAGAAAGTTCACTCTGTTGTGCTAATGAGGAATGGGATGCTCAGAGGGGTTGAGCAACTTGCCCACTGTCACACAGCAGAGGTTGGACCAGAACTCAGGTCTGTTAGTTCTGATCCACTGCCTTTCCCACTGCTCCCCACGGCTAGCACCTGCCCTGTTATGATCGCGTGAAACTGCTGACCCAGGCACACCTGGTTTCTCCATCGGTCATAGCCACCCTCACGCCAGCACGTAAGCTGAGCACTTTCCATGTATTCCCTGTGTTCACCTCCATGCCACCCTCAGCAACCCCCTTTACTGCCACGGGGAGCCTTCCCCTATACTGTGGCCAGCCAGCGGGCTGCTGGTTAGCTTTGGTCAATGGAGAGCGGATGGCGAGAGGAGACGAGATGCCCCATTTCCCTGGCTTCTGGCGCTGCCTCTAGCACCTGTGGCTGCAGAGACGGCCACAGTGGCCAGTGAATGGGGACTCTGGGTTTCAGCCCGGATGCTTGGTACCAGGAGCAGCAAATGGAGTACCACGGGCCTTTGCCCTCTGGTTCCTCTAGCCTGTGAGTGGAGGCAGCCTCTTGTGGTAACTTGACCTTCCCCTTTTCCTTCTCCAGCCCTCTGAACACCTTCGTAGCCACTGTATTCAATTCCCTCCAACTAAGTGCTTAGGCTGCTCTTCATGTTCCAGGGTTGATCTCTGAGTTACAAGTCTCTTATTAACAGAGATTAGAAAAGCAAAGGTATGGCAAGGTCAAGAACTGGAACCCAGGATGTTGGGCCTTCAGAGCCAAGACCAGAAGCCTTTCCACGTGAGGCCAACACAGATCACTGGGTGAGCGTACAGAGCTCAACTCCAGGTCCCCAGTGGACGGGACTGCACGCTATCATTGACTGCCTGCAGTTGGTATCCTAGCCCTGGGGTCAGGGACTGGCAGCTGAGTAGGGCAAGGGTGACCCCTCAGTCTTGGCCCTTCCCTGAGTCAGCCGTGTCTAGGTTTGTACTTGCCAGGTCCCCAGAGAACCCTCGCTGAACTTTCACTTGAAATATGTTCATATATTTATTTTCCGTTGCACCTTCAGTGTTAATCAGGAGTTAATTTTTAAATGTCACTGTTGAAGACATATCCATTCCATTCCTCTCTCTCCCCTTTGTGAGATCCATGTGATAAACTTGGACTCTCTTGGAAAACTGGTTGTGCAGCCTCATATATGATCACAAGAACTATTTCCCCTTTTTACTCTGGCTGCCAGGATGCTCATGTTCAAAATTACTGCTACATGATGAGTTCTCCATGAGCCCTCAGATTAGCCAGCATATTTGATTCCTTTTCCTTCTTATACTTCGATGTCTAAGATTTTACAGTTTTAGCAAGTACACGATGTGCTGTTATTTACCAATATGTTCTCAGGTGCAGTCCTGGCCCTCCCCAACCTGTTCTGTATTTCAGAGGGCTAGTTCCTAGCATGCTTCCCCAGCATGGGAAACGTTTCCCATGCTTCTTTGCTAGGTGGCCTCCAGCTAGACTCAGCCAATGAAGGCCTTGGCGAGAGACTGGAGGGCAGGGGGACAGGAAAAGAGCCAGTGTATTCCTCCCCATCTCTCTCCCTCGCTCCACGCGGCATCTTGGCAATAGCTGTACCTTCTCCCTGGATCCAATTCCCATTGCCCAGGCCCACCGTGGTTCCAGCTCCCACCGAGAGGCCCCAGCTGCAGGGCTCCAGCCCAAGCGGTGGAAGCCTATCCCTTCACCTGTTAAACTCAGAGTCTCCTCACTTCTTCCCAGGGTTGCTCTGTCATCATCCTGACCCCTCGGGAACTGTTCCCATGTCAAGTTCTGCCTGCTGAGCCACCCGATACAGGGCTTATTTTCCTGCTGGGCTCAGGCCGATGAGTATGCCAGGTCAGGTCAAGCCCGTTTTAGAAAGAGTCAGGCACAAATAGTACATTGAGCCAGCTCCGTGTTGAGGGGAGCAGAGCCAGGGAGGCAAGGAAAGGATAAACCTGCAAGGGTGGGAGGGGTGGAGGGTCCAGGTGAGGAGGATGCAATTGCCTGCAGCCCCCACAGTGGGCTGGGGGCTGGGGGAACAGTGGGGAGGGCTTGCAAGATGGACAGGCCAGGGTCCTGGCTGGGTGACCAAGCAGGTCACTTCACCTGTAGAAGCCTCCACTTCCTCATCTGTGTAATGGGGACTTCATACTCACTCACCTCACTGGACTTCATGAGAACCCAGTGAAATGGACCAGCTGAAGTCCCTGATCCGGGCCTTTGAACGTGATCCTGTGACGTCTGTCTGACAACTACGCCTCCCCTCACCCCAGAACATGGGGCTCGGCCCCCTCCCCAGGATAACATTCAAAACACGGAACAAGCCCTGCAGCCCACCGCACAGACGACCTCGTCCTACCGGCCGAATTTCAGCCCTGCCCCCGCCCGGCCTGGCTCCCCGGGGCGGCCACCTCTCGGAGTTGTGGTCCACGGTGTTCGCGTCGTCCCCCGAGACCCTGAACTCGCTGATGCGGATCCACTCGTCGAAGTCGACGCCCACCGAGTAGTACACGTAGAGCTTGCCGTTGTGCCGGAAGCGCGGGTGGAAGGCGAATCCCAGGAAGCCCCGCTCATCACCCTGCCAGGGCGAGGTGAGCACGGCCTGGCTGACGTTCAGGAAGGGCTTCGCCACCCGCGAGCGGTCGGGCAGGTAGGCCCACACCAGCCCCACCTGCTCGGCCACGAAGAAGCGGTGGGTGCCGTCCCGGGCGTGGACCATGGCCACGGGGTTGCGCAGCCCGTTGGCCACCTCCTCCAGGCAGAGCTGCAGGCAGCCCTGGGCGTCGGCCACCACGCGGCCCAGGTTCGAGTTGAGGTTCTCGCTGACCAGCAGGTGTGGGAAGCAGTAGTCCGTGTCATCCAGGGCCAGGTAGCGGCAGAACTTGGCACGGTTGCCCTCCAGCGCCCAGAGCTCGCGGTCAGGCGACAGGTGGCGGAAGAGGCCCCGGCAGGTCTGCCACATGTCCAGGCAGTAGTCCTGGCAGAGCCCGGGCACCGTCCGCAGGGGCGTGGAGGGGTCCTCGGCGTCATAGAGGTGGGCCGCGTAGGGTGAGCATTCCTGCGGGGACAGGGACGGCTCAGGGCTGCTGTGTGGCGGCACTTACGGGCTGTGTGACCTTGGACCGGTCAGCCCACCCCCAGAACCCCAGGCTGCTGATCGGCTGATCTGTAAATGGGGACAACCCCACCCAGGTGTTAGTGGGATCAGTCTCCACCACCGCAGGCCTCCCATCCCCTCACATTCTTCTCTTTTCTTTTTTTTTAAGATTTTGAAACATGCCCAAACAGGGGCTCAACTCGGAAACCCAGGAGTGCTCCCTGTCTGGGAATCGAACCGGTGACCCCTCGCCTTGCCGGGTAATGTCCAACCCACTGAGCCACACCGGCCAGGCCTCGCCTTCTTTCTTTTCTCTTGCTTTCCATTCTGTTAGAACAAATAACCACAACTGTTACTCCTACCACGGCCAACAGCATCAGCAGCTACTCTTGTGGAGGGTCCAAGGCTCTTTTTATTCAGATTTTATTTATTTATTTACAGAGAGAGGGGAAGGAAGGGATCGAGAGAGGGAGAGAAACATTGATGTGTGAGAGAAACATCTATCAGCTGTCTCTCAGGCCGCCAGCTGGGGACCTGGCCCACAACCCAGGCTTGTGCCCTGACAGGGAACCGAACTGGTGACCTTCTGGTTCACAGGCAGGCACTCAACCCACTGAGCCACACCAGCCAGGGCCAAGGCTTTTTTACATACTTTCTCTTGTAACATAACTGACGCTTCTGCCCTTTATCTGCACAGCGTACTTCTTTGTTTAGCTCCCAACTCAAGGGCCACCTCCTCAGGCAGGTCTTCCTGGGGCCACCCGAACCCTTCTGCTGCAAGACAAAGGAACTGGACCCTCGAGGCCTCTCTGGACCCCTTTCCAGCTCCGTTGGGCTCTGACTTCACGGGGCAACACCCAACAGCCAAGGTTCACCCCTCACCTCCCACTGAGGTGAGACACTGATGGGACACTGTGAGTTAAGTACCCCCACTTTGGCACCCTCCCTGTACCCCACCTGCCCAGAGCAGAGGCCTCAACTCCCTGGGCTCTATGAGGTCCCTCGGCTGGAGCCCCCGCTGAGAGAGCAGATGTGATTTTCCAGGTCTGTGTCCGACACACACGCTTCCCAGCCATGAGCTCACCGTGCCAAGGCCTGCTCTGTCCAGCCAGGGGCCCCCAGAGGTGTTGAGGAGGCGCTGACAGCTTGCAGCCCCCCGAGGCCGGGCCGGGTTCCAGCAGGAGGCCTCCAGGGCCAGCGGCCGCAGGCTGCCCTCTTGGCCGTGTTCTCAGGCGCCAGGCCAGAAGCCACTCCCTCCCGTTACTCGACTGTGCCTTTGCCACACCGCAACCTGTCTTCCGGGCCCCTCCACTGCCACTGTGGAGCTGAGGGCCACCTGGTGATGTGTGCTTAGAGGTCTGGTCAGTCGCTGCCCCGGGTCCAGACAGGGACAGCACATCTCACACGCTGACAAGCAGGCTCTGCCCGGTGTCACCTCCCCCGACCATGGTCCCCCGGAGCCTCCCGAGTCCCTCCAGAGGCCCTGGGAGGACCAGGGAGGGTCTGAACGCACACTTGCCCCACTTAACCTTCATGAGGTGGGGTCATCGAGACTTCCATTGCACAGATGAGGGACCAACGCTTAAGGGTCATCCATCAAGAAGTGGCCGAGTTGGGGGCACCATCCTTGGCTGACAGACACAGTGGGGAGCAGAAGGGACTTCCAGAAACCAACCTGAGTGCCCGCCACTCATCAGAGCCCAGCCCAGAACTACAGCGGGAGTTGGGGTGGGGGGGCTCCAGAAAGCCAGGTGGGAAGTTCTGCACCCACGGATCGAGATGTGGGGTCCCGCAGACCCTCACTCATGGCCCGTGTTCCCTTCCTTGCATGCCGTGCGAGCCTGGGGCCCAGACCTGGGCAGTCTAGAAGCAGGAAACGACAAGAGGGGGCAGTGATTGCTGCGGACGAGGAGGACGGCCAGCCTCTAGCCTCACAGCGGCCAGCGGGGGAAGGCTGCAGAAAAGCCATGGAAAACAGACCCGGCAGCACACTGCCCAGCTGCCTGGGCCACTCACTCCACACAGGGGACAACCACCTCACTGCCCCAGGGGCAGACCACCTGCCCGCCTTGCTGCCCTGGGACTCCACTGTGCCGCTGCTGGACTTGAGAATCCTGGGCCCGAGTCCTGAAGGCTTCTTACATCCACCGCCTGTTCCTCAGGAAGACCGAGCCTTCCTGTGCAAACGTCTCTTGTGGGATGTGCCCTCCGTGCCCACTTCTGGGTCTGGAAACCGTGCCTCCAGGCCCAGCTCCAAGGTCTCCTCTGACTCCTCCATTCTCCCAGGGCCCAGACTCTCCCCCGGTCCCGTGGATGTTCCCACAGCCCTCGGTCCAAGTCGCAGATGCCGCAGTCACCAAACTGCTCTTCTGCAGCCAATGGGGTAAGCTTCTGCTCTCACGTCACCACCGCCACAAATGGCTCAGCCTGTCTGCCTGGCTAGGACTCAATAATCTCTGAGCATGCCCCCCACCCGGAGGATTGTGGGACCCTCCAGGACAGGGACCCTAGGGCTCAGCACACAGTGGGGCTTCAGAAGGCAGACAATATGGCAAAGTGATTAAGAGAAGGGCTTTGGAGTCAGAGCAAACTGGAGACTGAGTCTACCATTCCCAGTGTGACCTTGGGCAAGTTCCTTAACCTCTCTCTGCGTATGTCCTCATCTGTAAAAGAGAGAAGGAATTCCAACCTCACAGAGCCCTTGAGAGCAATAAACTGAAATGACTCACGTGTTTGTCCAGTGAAGGCTTAAGCAATATAGGCTGTCAAGATGCACGTCAGGCCCTGGCTGGGTAGCTCAACTGGTTAGGGCATTGTCCCAACACAACAAGGTTTTGGGTTTGATTCCCCATCAGGGCACATGTAAGAATCAACCAATGAATGCAAAAATAAAGTGGAACAAATCAATGTTTCTTTTCTCTCTGATCAATAAATAAAAAAAAAAAAGATGCAGCTCAATGTTGCCTCCTTCCGGAAGTCTTCCCTGACTGTTTCAGGGAAAGTGTGGTCTTTCCGAGAAAGCCCCAAGAAAGGATCAGAAGCACCAGGAGGGACAAACGCCCTCTGGCTAGGGAGCCACCTGGGCAACTGGAGGTGGAGGCTGGTGAGTGCCAGAATGGGAGGGGTGGGGGGCAGGTTCTGGAGGAGACTGTGGGCGTGGGCACGTTTTCATCCCCTCCCGTCTGGAGTCCAGGTCCCCAAGGCAGACGTGAAGGCCTGCTGTCACTGACTCAAACTTGCAAACAGGCACCTGGGCCCTGCCCCCGGGGTGGAAATCAGCAGGCCTTGAATCTGGTCCTCCAACTGGTGCTCTCCCTCCCTCCCACCAGGCCCCGCCAGGGAAACCGGGAGCCAGCGCTGGCTGCCCTCTCCCCTCTCCCAGCTCACTCCAGACATGAGGTCACTCCCAGCAAAGCCTCGGGTGAGGCAGGCGCTAGCAACCACTCCACCGCCGGCTGCTCAAGGCCAGCCCATGCCGGGAAGATTCCCAAGGAACGAGGGGAGCTTCCTGCTGGGGAGGTAGCAGGACCGGCCCTTTCCTTCCTTCTCCACACATGTGTCCGCCTGATCTGTCCTGCTGAGCCTGCTGTACAGTAAGCGCTCAGTCGACCTACATGGAGTGATTTCAGGAACCTGCTATGCGCCCAGGGGTGGGAGGGGCCCGGACCTGGTCCTGTGGAGCCCCCACACAGGTGACGGAGCCAGACACTCGACCAGGCCTTGCTGGCTCCCCGGAGATGCTCAGGGACTCGGCAGAGTCCACTACCAAGAGCGTGCACCCCCCTCCTTTGCATTCTGGAGCTCCTCAGGGCACCTGCTTCCATCCTTTAAAAATTTTTTAAAATTTTTATTCCTTACCTGAGGAGGGAGAGAGAGAGTAAAACATTGATAGGTCGCCTCCTGTATGCACCCTGACCAGGAATTGAACCTGCAACCTAGGTATGTGCCCTGACTGGGGATCAAACCCACAACCTTTTGGTATAAGAGATGACAACACTCCAACCAACTGAGCCACCCAGCCTACCCAGACAGGCCACGATATTGGCAATGAGTGAGGTCTCAGACTCACCATGGCCATCACCAGGCTGTGTGACTTCCAGGCGAGTCCTGGACTCTCTAGGCCTTCACTCAGTCGGCCTCTGGGCCTAGCTCGGTCCCCACCCAGGGCTTGGCAGCCAATGGGGGCCAAGGAAGCAGGCACCAGAGAAATCCTACCAATGTGCATTTTCGTCATTTAGTCTGCGGGGCAACTCTGGGGGCAGTAAGATTGCCTCCGTCTTAAACACGATGCAAGGACCATCAGGGGACACGTAGAGACCTTCGGAATGACCTGCCCAGCATCATGCAATCAGGAACTGGCAGAACCAAAATCAAAGCCCAGTATGTCAAACTCCAAGGCAGCCCCCCAGCCCTGTGGGCCGAAGCTGGGACATTGCGCTGCCCCTGCAGGACCCTCTGGCCCCAGTCCTCTCACTGCCCAGGTGCTGGGCCAAGGCCAACCTTCAGGCTTAACAGTCTGGACTGTTATACCCACCAGTGCGGGTCAGGCACCCAGCATCAGACCCACGCAGGGGGAAAATGTACAGCTGAGGCACAACTTGGTGTGAACAGAAGCCCAGCTCCTCTTTCAGAGGGGAGATGGGGGCAGAAAGTTTTCACCAAAAAGATGTCACTCAGGGAATCTTGAAGGATGAGAGCGCCTCTGCCAGTGGGGGCGCCATCACGAGGCCGGGGCACAACCCAGGTGGGACCTGCCGCGCCTGAGGCAGTGCAGGCCCGGGGCTCACACAGGGTCTGAGGGTCCGAGGGTCTGGTCCCCCACACCCCTAGACGAACAAAAAGCCAGCGCATCGACCATGCCCTCAGCAGGCCCTTGGGACAATAGCTTCCCACCCGTGGTACCCCGGTGAGGGCGGAGCTCCCTCTCCCGGAGCACTGCAGGGCTAATTCTAGGAGGCCCTGGGCAGAAGAGCCCCGAAGCGCTGAGGGAGTGATGACATCAATCACCGGTCCCTCCTGGTTTGGGAAGGGAAACTGAGGCCCAGAGAAGGCCCAAGTCACAATGCCAGGGAATGGCAATGCCCTGGCCACCTCCAGACGCCCGCCTCCCCTCCCCAGACCCAATCACTCCCGCTGGGGGCCTTGGGGTCCGAAGCCCGCTGTCCACCCGCCGGCTCGTCCAATGGGGTTGCCGCCGTCGCCACCCCTCCGCCCTCTACCGCCGCGCCCAGCTCACCTGGCAAAGCAAGTCGAGCGCGTAGCCGGCGCACGCGGCCCACAAGCCGGCGTCTACGCGCGCCGCCAGGGCCCCGAAGCGGCGGGCCAGCGCGGCGTCCTGCTCGGGCGTGCAGCAGCCGAAGGCCGAGTACTGCGAGCAGAAAGGCCGCGGCTGTGGGGGCCGGAAGGGCGGCCTGAAGTCCAGGCACTGCGGGTGCGCCGCTGTTCCAAGTGCCCGCAAAACCAGCAGCGCGAGCAGCGCTGGGGCCCCGGCCCGGGCTCGCCGTCCCGCCATGCCGCTACCACCCTGCTCCGCCCCGCCCCGGCCCGTGGGGAGCCTCTGACCGCGCCCTGAACGCCCGCCTCCCGCCTAGCTAGCATCCTCCGGGGTCCGGCCTCGAGTTTGTCGACCTCCCCAGCAAGGAGGAGGACAGCTCTGGTCCGGGACACGTGGGCGGGACTGAAGGAAGGAAGGTGCCTGTGCAGAAATTGGAACACCGCACTGCTCAGTTCCCGCGGTTCGGGCAGCCCCTTCCTCCTGGACGCAGAGCCTTTCCAAATACAACGGCAGTGGGCCTGCCTCCTGGGGCCCCGGGTGCAGACTGGGTTTCCAGTTCTAACTGGGCCTCAGCTTCCTCTCCTGGGCGCTATTGAATCCGAGGCTCAGGAGCCCTGGCCAGAGGTCCCGGCTCCTTGGGTTTGGTCCTGGTGTTAAAGTTAAGATGTAGCATCTTAACTTTAAGATGTTTTGCAGCACAGCGTAAAGCCTGGACAGGAACTCAGAGGGGCAAGTGTAGCCAGCTGCAAAGAAGACATCAACCTGTAACTGACCACATGCTGTGTACAAGCAATGGCCAAGCCCTGGGAATGAATCCCTGTCTCCTTTACTTGCTGCAAGCAAATAAAACTACCTTGCGACAACCATGTCTGGTTACTGAATAGACATCCCTTGAGTTCGGTAACACTATCTCTGATGGGGCAGGGGTAGGGACACAATGGAGCCAGTGGCTGGGAATTCCCATGGAATCGCTTAAAAATGGAGGCCAAGCCGGGCAAAGCACAGGCATGTTGGCCAGGAAATCAGAAGTAGAAGTGAAACCTAGGGGTGGGGTTGGGGAGGCAGGATGGGGCAGTCTCCGAAGTCCCCCATGGGCTCACCCTTGGCCCCCACCCCAGGCTTCTTCCCTTTCAGATTCCCCTACCTCTCGGGCCCGCCGGGCCCGCGCCCTCCCACAGCTGCACACCTCCTGGGTGAGCTTCCGGCTCTCCCACCTGCAGCCCCTGGACGGGCCTCTGCCCTCTGTCACACCTCTGGGTCCTGGCCCCATTATGCAGCTCACAGGGCAAAGCTGGAGCTCCAGGGCCCTGGCGTCTCCACTGCTGCCCCGGCAGGGAAGGGGGTTGGAAGCCGTCACTCCTGCCCTGCCAGTGAGAGAAGAGCCCAACAGACCCTGAGTTCCAGGGGTGCAGCCCCAGCCAGGGATCTGAAGACAAGCAAATTCACTCTTAGCCAGGATCTGTTCACCAGGAGAAGGTGCTGGAGCTGTGAACTGGCAGGATGGCTTAACCGGAATTCCAACGAATTGCTGGGGGCACAGTGTGCGCTAGTGTGAAACTGAGGGACTCCAAGCTGGGGAGGTCCCAGCCTAAAGGGGGAGCATAGTTTTGTGATTTTGCCTCTAGCAACCCTCCAAAACCCCCTCAGAGCTATGGCAGGGGGAGGGGAAAGTTGTCATTGTGAAGTACACCCACAGTGTTCTCCAGGGAAATGACTTTTACCAGAACTCATCCACTCTCGGGGAAGGCATTTCCCCAACTCCAGCCCCCTCTAACCTTCCAGTCTTTCCTACAGGGGTCGAGGGTGGGAAACTAAGAGACTCCAGTGAATGTCACAGCTCCAGGACACACGATTATACAACATTTCTCCTCCCAGCTCTTTACAGACACCTCAACAGGCCTCCAGGATACGAACCAGGCCACAGTTACAAGAGCTACAAGGCACTCTGTCCGAGGAGGGGTTCTCAGGGAATTGCAAAGACAGCAGGAGAAACAAAGACGCCGGAGGGATCTGCAGCCACCAGCTGCCAGGGCCACGGCAGGGACTGCAGCCCCCAGTGAGATGAGCAGCAACCCTCACACCGAGGAGGCCCGTCTAGCCCAGTGCCTGCCACCCAGGCCACCGCGTCTGGCTTTCGGGAACAAGTTGCACGGCAGGTCGAGTGACGAGAAGAGACACCGTCTGAAGGGAAAAGAGCATCACAACCAGACTGGGGAGCACACAGAATTTGGAACTGTCAGACAGGGAGCTTAAAATAACTATGAATAATACGTTAAGGGCTTTAATGGAAAAAGTTAACAACATGCAAGGACAGATGGGCAGTGTCAGCAGAGAGATGGAAACTCAGAGAAAAAAAATTTAGCCCTGGCTGGTGTGGCTCAGTGGATTGAGTGCTGGCCTGTGAACCAAAGGGTCGCTGGTTCGATTCCCAGTCAGGGCACATGCCTGGGTTTCCGGCCAGGTCTCCAGTAGGGGTCATGTGAGAGGCAACCGAACATTGGTTTCTCTCCCTCTCTTTCTCCTTCCCTTTTCTCTACAAATACATAAATACAATCTTTTTTAAAAAGAAAAAATGAAAGGAAAGGATAGAAATAAAATTAAAAAATGTCGTAACGAAAAGGAAGAATGACTTTGCTGAGCCCGTCAGTGGACTGACGGGAAAATCGGTGAGCTTGAGGGTAGGTGCACAGAAACACCCCGAACTCATCTGCAAAGAGGGAAAAATGTTTAAAAAATTAAAAAGAACAGAAGATCCAGGAAACGTAAGACAGTTTCAAAAGGGATAATATTTTACGACTGGAGAACCAGGAAGAAAAGAGAGAGATTGCAGCAGAAGAGATATTTGACGTAATAATGGCCAAGTTTTCTAACATGAATGGCAAGTACTGGAAACAACAGATCCAGGAATCTAAAAGCCCAAAAGTGGGATAAATACCCCCAAATCCACGGCTGGGCCTGTCATATGCAAACAGCGAGAACACAAAGTGAAACTCCGGAGAGGAGGCGGAGAGGGGAGGCCGCTGGCCTGCAGAGGCCCCGGAGGAGGGGGCAGCCAAGGTCTCGCAGGAAACCCCGCAGGCGGGGAGAGGGCGCCACCACGTATTTCAAGTGGTCATAGAAAAAAGCCATCAACACAGATTTCTGTACCTGGCAAAATTACCCTTCCAGAGAGAAGGAGAAAGAAGGACTTTCTCAGAAAAACAAAGCCGGCGGGTTCATCAGCGGCAGAGCCGCCTTACCCAAGTGTTGAAAGACGTCCTTCAAGGGGGAGGAAGGTGACGCAGGTCAGACACTAGGTATCGGAAGATCGCAGCAGGCAGACAAGTGACATTAACTCCGCGATGCCGTGGGGACAGCAGAAGGAGTGGGGACACTCTGTGGTCAAATGCCTGCGTTGCCCGGAAAATGGAATAGTGCTGATCCGGCCTGACCGGTGGTGACCAGAATGAGGGAGGGGCTGCAGGAGAGGGCCGCAGTGGGAGTGTTTGGCTGAAGGGGAGGCCCTCTTACCCCCTTCCTGCCCCTGGGTGAGGGCGAGAGCAGTGGGCGCAGCCGCAGGTGACTGCAGGAGGGCCACTCAGCGACAGGGTGACGTGCTGTCCTGTCACTCTAGCCTGGGAACAGGGCGAGACTGGCTCCCCGAGAACACAGATGTCTGGGCCAGGAAATGGAAACCGAGGGGAGGGAGAACAGGCTCTCTCGTTATGGACCCAGGTCACAGACGAGCAGGCCGGCGCCTGCGTGGCCAATGGCGGCTCTGAAAAGGGGGGAGCCTGAGGCCCGACAGTGGCGGGGAGAGAAGCTGAGCCCTTGGAGGACTTGGTGGCCACCTGCAGTTCCCGAAGGGCGGTGTTTTGCACGAGAGAAGGAACCCTGGGCGCAGCCTGGGACCGGTCTGGCGGAGGGTAGCGGGGTTTTCCTCTGGGTTTTCCCGGAGCGATGGGCTCTGAGGCAGGCGCCTGCCCTCCTCCCAGATGGCGAAGCTTGTGAACAAAAGACCGCTTTCCTTTCCCCACAAACCGCTGCCTCAGAATTTGTCTGTGGGTGGCAGTGGGCAGCCGAACCCCACTTCTGGGTGGCAACAGTATTACTCGAAAATGGGCTTGCATTAGTAAAAAACGTATATTTCCTCTGCACCATTTGCGCAATCTTTTCTGAAAATCTAAAACTGTCCTAAAATAAAGTCCATTAATAAAAAATTACAGTATAAAGAAACTGTATATTGCACACTCTAGGGCAACCACAAAATAATTTTTCAAAGGGGCATCATCGATACGCTTAGAAAGGAGGTGAGGTGCAATCATACCAGTAAATGCACAACTAAAACCAGAAAAGGCTGAAAAGGGGGCAGGAAAAACAAAGAGCACGTTTAATTCGTAGTAAACAGTTACACGCACGGTAACTCCTACTGTCCCGAGACGTGAGTGATCAAAACACACCAACTGTAAGACAGAGGGGATAAAAAACAATGCCCTAATGTGGGCTGTCTACAAGAAAACCACTGGAAATATAAGTATTCAGATAAGTAAAAATAGAGAAAGACACACCACCTTACTACTAATCAAGAGTAACTGGGAGGGAAAAAAGAGAATAACTGGAGTGGCTACATTAATTTCATGAAAAAGCAAACGTCAGCAATAGAGGCCGGGACAGGGTCTTCTAGGCCCTAACACAGCGGGGGCGCTGGCTGTTGAGCCCCCAGGGCAGGGTGGCAGGCACAGGCTGGGCACGCTGCTGTTTACACGGACACAGAAGCACATGAATGGACAATAGGATGAGTGAATGAATGAAATACTCTGACTTGGCTATTTCCGGGAGGCCCCAGCCGCCGCCATAGCCGGGAGGCACAGGCTGGGTGGCCTGGACAGTTTCACTGAAAGCCGTTTGGAGCCATGGGGACCTGCGGGGAGGGCATGCTGGGTATCAGGAACAAAGTCCTTCCAGCCCATGAGCCTTCCAGCCCTGTCCATTGGAGACGGCCTTGGAAGCCAGTTCCGTGGCTGAGAAAACCTTGGATTTTCTTCCACAAACCTTGGCTTTGTGATGTCAGCGGATGATTCAGGGCCCACAAAAGCTGCCTTCTTGCCCGTTCAGGCTTGGGCGGGGGGGCGGGCACCCAGCCCTGCTGTGGTCTCCCCTCCGTGACCCCAGGCAGGACCCTCCCCCTTCCTCAGCCCCAGTTTCTCCACCTCTTAAGGGGAAGAGGTGAGACCGGGCCACCGCCAGTGGCTCTGGGTGCCACTGTACC